CCTACGCAGGTCTCTTCCTCTTCTTCCCCGGCTGCGCCCTCGGATGCTCTGCCCCTTCTTCAACGACCTGACATTAGAGCCCTTGCTCTCCAGGAGGATTGGCAACCTCTGGCCCGACACCTTCGTACCATGCATGCTGGTCCAGGATTGCGACACTGCCCTGTTTGTCACCAATGGTTCACCCGCACGCAGGATATCTTCCGGCATCTGAAACGTCAGCACTCGCTTTCTGCACTTCAAGAGTCCATGCGAGCTGACTGGCTCACAGCACGTACGGCTGCAGCCCGCTCTCCCTGTAGCTGGTGTAGGCTCACGGTGTCCTTCAAAACTCAACACGTTGCTGCTTGCCCTGTTTTGCAACAGACCATCACCTTGCGCATCCTCGTCCGCCATGAGCTTGGCCTCCTCTCAGGCGTTGGGCAGCGGCCTCTCTCTACAGGAGACCCAGCAACGAGAGGCTCAGGCCGAGCTGCTACTTCTCCAGTGCTGGGGAGAGGACGGGATGATTCTGGATGCAGCGAACAAGCATCAAGAGATGGAGGATGCGGACGACCAGGGGAAGGAGCGCGATGCGAAGTGGGCCAGACCGGAATCCAAGGGTGGCTTCGGCCGCGGCGGGAGGGGCAAAGGCAACCAGTCGGGCCAGCCGCCGCAGAACAATGGGCCTCGTCGGCAGCCTTTCCGCCGACCGACAGAGTCGGACTCCAAGGCCCCGGATGGCATGATGTGGCTGCTGGGAAAACTCCTCCTGCGCCACGAGGATCAGATGGGAATCGACAGGACTCAGAACGGCTTTGTCATGTTCTTCAAGAGAGAGAGTGCTCTCTCCTTGGTTCCTCTCTTCGTTCAGAAGTCTCAGCATTGGAATGCTCTGAAAGAGCAGAAGCAGGAGAAAATGGACGAGATTGCCCTGCCCCTACGTACCTTTCTCTTCCACACAATGATGGAGACCCTGGTGAAGCGCATCAAGGACACTGTGAAGAACGACGAGCAACTGAAGACTGCCATTACCCTCCAAGTTTTTCTTCCCAAGGAGGGCGACTCGGAGCTACGCATTCCATTCCTGAGCTACAACCCGGAGACCAAATCTCTGGCCCCTCGCCAGGATCAGCCACCGATCCTGGTCTCCGCGATGCTCGAGAAGCTGCAAATCCTCCAGAAGCAATGCCTCTGTCCTCTGGCCATCATGCGATTCCACTCCACTCAGCGCCTCAACGGCCCTCTTCAGGGCCCCACCGTGCCCTTCTTGCTTCAGGTGGGTCACAGGTCGCCGGAAGCAGCCGAGCTCTATCTGAGCCTCCGATCGCTGGCCAATTCGGCGGTCTGGCAGTTGGTGGGCGGATCTCTGCGTCCGGAGAAAATGGGCCGCTCAGCCCTGGCAGCCGAGCTCGCTCGCCGTTTGCAGGGGTCCTTCACTCAGACAGGCTGTTCTCTCAATCACCTCAGCTGCTTCGTGTTGTCAATGCCTCCAACCATTGTTATGCCAACTCGGTGCTATGCTGTCTCCACTGGGCCAACCAGCTGCTGTGTTCTGAAGCAGCTCGTCCTCAGGTGATTTGGTCCGCGGCTATGCGTTCAGTCGTGCGGCGAATGACTACGCAGGCGCCTGTCCCAGACCTTTGGTCGGCTCTCCAATGGTCGCTCTTGCACTCTCGCTGGGCTCGCCCTCACTCCCAGCATGACGTTGCGGAGTATCTTGCCTTTTGCCGCAGGTTTGTCATTCCGGATCTGCTCATGGGCAGGTGGCAGAATCGGCTTCTTCTTACCGACTGTAATCCCCCTCGCTGTCAGGTGCGCGACTGTGGGGACGCATGGCCTATGCTACTAGCTACGCCTCCTTCTCAGTGTGATGCTGGAACTAGTGGACGGATCACAATCCAGCGGCTTATCCATGCCTGGAAGGATCAAGCTGCTGCTGGACTCACCGCCATGGACAGTGAGCCGGGCCTTTTGGTTTTGCAGGTAAACCGGTTCAGCCCCTCGGCTGCCGGTGCAAAGGACGTCACCAGTGTGCTGCCGGATCCTCGCATTCTGATACCCTGTTTTCAGCACCACCCTATCCCGCAAGATGCTGCCCTTTGTGTGCGCCATTGCGAATACCAGCTGATTGCGATCATTCTGCACGAGGGTCCTGATGCAGCCTCCGGTCATTACCGTGCACTCCTCTGCACTTATCCTCCTGACTCAGAGCCCGTTCACTGGCAATGCGACGATGCAAAAGAGCCGACAGTCCACTCTGAGCTCTCATTGCAAGCCTTGACAACGGGCTACCTCTACTTTTACTGCCGCACCGTGCAGCCTGAGCATGTCTAGGCCATTCATGGGCCATTCGTGGCAGGTCCTATGTCATCGCTCTGGCTGCGAGCACGTTTCTCACCGACGTGTGCAAAGCACATGGCTCACAGTAGCCGGGGTGGCTCCCTGTCATAACAGCCTCGCAAAGCGGATCTCTTCTGCAGCGTATGAAAGAAAAGATGTATATAAGCTTTTCTGTATATGCACATGCATAAAACCACATGTGCATGTACACATATATGTGTGTGTATACACATATATACATAATTAAGTACATTCATGCGTTGCCAGGACACGGCCGCGAGTGCCACCCAGCGGCTGCCAGCTCGACTTCCGGAGGCGCTCCCTGGACCTCTTGCAAGATGCAAGTAAGGCGTGCTATACAAAACTTTGACAGATGGCAGGAAACCGATCTGCAGGCAGAGGAAAGCGCAGGACCGGTTTCGTGCGAATGCTTGAAGATTTGTTTGCGAAGGTCGCACAGGCTGCTGGTGGTTTGTTCTATGTCAGTTTGCCTTGTTGCTAAACTGGCCTGCAAAAGGACCTTCGTTTCGCGCAACACCAGAAATAGACCAGGCACCGATTATTGGCAGGGCTCTTTCCGTGGGCTGCACTTTGCCAGAGGGCCGAGGTCCCAACAGGCTTGGGGCGGCAGACATACATGTATACAGGTACATATAAATAGATACGAGATATATATATATATATGTATATATATATATATATGCAGATACACTAGACACACGTGCATGCTTCGCACGCACTTAGTGTGCTAATTTTCGTGCCAGATTTGCAGAGTTTACTCCCCACAGACCTCCCTGCACTCTTAAGTCCTGAACCTCAAACCGGCTCTTTTTGAGGGCTTCTTCAAGCGGGTACTATAAGGCACTGTAAGGGGAGTGCACTGCAGTATAATACCAAAGACGATGGAGCGTCACTGTGCAGTTACCTAACCACGGAGACCCGGTTATACATTGCATACCTGCGATTAAGGCTATAACTCTTGCGGTAGCTTGAACCAAGTGCCCTGCTCCTGTAAAAGCTGTACAGTTTAATTTCAAGACCAAGGCCAGAGGGAGGGGTGGGGGGGGTAGGGGGGGTGGGGTTGGGAGGGGAGGAGGGTGGGGAGGGGAAGGGTAGGTGCGGGGCAGTTCTGGAAAAGCCAGAGCAGCACGCGCTGTTTGGGGATGAACTAAGATGAGGTTTATCCCAGGCTTACCGTAGCCTAGTAAGACCTACTTGTAATCCAGATTATTCGGGTCTCTAAGAACCGAAAGAGTCGGTTATGAGTCGGTTATGGTAGCCTCAGGTAATCAATGTCTTTTTGTCATAGTGGGCTAGCATTTTACATTTTGGGATATTTCACCTACATGAGGAAGAGAAATCTACCAAGCATGGTTTAGATCTTTGTCGACTAGCTGTGATGATCAATCCTGGACGCGAGCATCGCAACATACGGCGACCAATGCGCGGCAAAGTCTGGGGCTGAAGAGTTTCGGGTTTGGGGTTTCAGGCTTAAGGTTTAGGGGTTTGGGGCTCAGGGTGTTGGGTCTTAATTTCTAAAAGCTAAATCGTAAACACCGTTTTTGGCCCGGCCCTAGAAACCCTAAACCCTTGAACCTTAAACCCCTAAACCCTGAACCCCTAAACACCAGACCAGTAAACCCAAAACCGTAGACCCCTAAACCCTAGACCGGTCCCTGAACTCCTAAATCCTACACCTTAAACACTAAAGTCAGCTCCTTTTAAGGGCTTCTTCAAGCGGGTACTATAAGGGCACTGCAGTATACCAAAAACGAGGAAGCGTCACTGTGCAGTTACCAAGCCACGAAGACTCAGTTATACATTGCATACCTTTGATTAAAGCTATAACTCTTGCGGTAGCTTGAACCAAGTGCCCTGCTCCTGTAAGAACCAATACAGTTTTATTTCAAACCGGGTGGGAGGGGAGGGGTGTAGGGGGCGGGGTAAGGGAGCCGGAAACCAACGAGGGAAGGGGGTCCTATCTGTTTATACATATATATATATATAAATGGAGTCGATAGACCTGTGCACCGGCTCACGAATGCTCGGTTCCTACCGTCCGCCAGTTCGAGCCGGGCCGGATCCACATCCGAGCTTTGCGGCATGAAGCATCCGATGCCACATGAAGCATCAATCAAGCTCCGAAGCTTTGCAGCCGGGGAGCCTAAGTTCCCAAAGCCATCCAAAGCCATGGGTCAGCTGCACACCTTGCTTTGGGCTGAGCCGCCGCCCCTGGCGGACGTTCCGGCTGCAGCTCCGGTTCCGTTACCTGGCACAATGGGCTTTGAATTTTGCGGTTTGGAGATGTTATGAGGGTGGTTGAAGGATAGTTTGGACTGGACTGCAGCCTAGGGTCTGTGGTAGGAGACGCTGCAGCTCGGGTGGGGGCAGGGGGCATTGATGTTCATTCCGAACTCATTCCTTATAACCTTGACAAGCCCTTCGCTGCTGTTGGAAAGTTCCTGCTGTTCAAAGGGTTTCTCGGCTGGTTGGCCTGGGGATTCTCAGAGAAGGGAAGACAGAGGAAGCTTCACACCCGGGATCCGTCTGCGGTGAGGATGGTTTTGACCAGCGACAGATGTCGGTAGCAAAGGAATACACATGGCATAATTAGCACAAGAGTGTTCCGAGGCAGTCGGCCTTCCCTCTGCACAAGCTGCTGCTTTGCTTGTGCTGGCTGCCGTCGAGCTCACTGCTGGCAGCAGAGCTTTGCTGTCGCGAGCTCAGGCCTTCTCAGTTTGCTCCATGAGGTCAGGACAGGCCACACGAACACACACGGGGGTTCACCGACACGTGTATTTATGCTGGCCTGCGACTTAATGTTGCATAAATACACATGTTTTACCGGGTAAACGCGAGTTCCAGGTTAGCCCCTTTTTGGCAAGTTGTGCAGCGCGTGCTTATGCCTACGACCGTTCCAGGGCGCTGGTCCTCCAGCGCGGCTTTTTGCCCGGGCTTTGCCTGAATGAAGAACAGTTCTTGGGCAGCTGTGAAGGCGTGGTGTCATGGCTCGAGGCTTGGCTTTCCTAGGACAGGATGCCCTGTGGAAACAGCCTCAGTTCACCGTACAGAACTCTGACTTCCCAGTCTGTGGCATGTCGGAACCCCATCAACGCATGCAGTCGGTTTGGTCCCGTCAGTCGTAGTCTTGCCACGCCCACCTTGATTCCTCTGTGGGAACGCAAAGCAGTTCTGCCCTCCGGTTTCTCTGCTAAGGAAGAGCGTGCCTCCTGCGCAGGCTGCCAGAAGCTGATATATTTGGCAGCCGGCCTGGCATTCAATCTCCTCGTTTGTTCAGAGACCAAAGCCCCCAAACATTAGAGCCCAAACCCAAAAACCCAACAGCCAAAACCCTAAACTTAAACCCAAAACCTCAATATCCTCAACCCTTGCACCCTGGGTCGACCACTACGTTGTGGGCTCTCTCAGCCGACTCGTGCCCACTTGCCTAGTCTGGATTGTCCGAGTGTGAGCGCCGAAGCCCTGGGTTCTATTTGGGAGTTTTTCAACATAGGCGGCCCCAATGTAGTACCCTTTCGTAGTAGGATCCTTTGGATAAGGGCCCCCGGAAAAGGCACCCTGATCTTCGTAAAATCCCATTTCACCTTAAACCCTGAACCCAGGAGACTCTGATCCTGCGGGCGATGCCGACGCTCACAGAGTCCCACGTTAACCGCGACTTGGCAAGTGAGCATGTGGCTGCGGGTTTTTGGGGTTTAGGGCTTAGAGCTTTGGGTTCGAAGTTTCGGGTTTTGAGTTTAGGGCTTCAGGTTTCCGACACTCAGAGCCCAGCTGCAACAGGGGTGTAGGCCCAGGAGGGTTTAGGGCTTTATGCCTTACAGGTCTTTGGTGTCAGATGCAAGGCTACTTGATGTTAACCGTGTTTCCTTCCTGTTGCTACCGTTGATGCTCTTTTGTTTGGGTATTTTAGAAGATTTCAGTAGTCTCTTGCTATCCACGTGTTCAGTCGGCTTGCATTGGGTTGAATACAGCAGATCGCCAAGGACTCCTCCATATTTGCCCCGGTCTGAAGTATCTCGATCTCTCAGACAACGAGGCCGCGTAGCCGCTGTTGAACCATCGGCTTGGCTGCTCTGCCACCCCTATGCTACAGTATCCTAAGCAGTCTCGACTGGACTGCTTCCTTGCTGCATATGTGGTAAGTCATCTACATGCTGCCCCCGTTTCCGGACATTCTGGATGCTGGACTTGCGTCACTACCTCCCATCCATGGTACATGCTTTCCGCGTTTCGCCTAGATTTCGCCTGTCTACTACCGTTCTGTACGCTCAGGGCCCAAAGCCCCTAAGCCGTGCCAGGAGACATTGACTCCGCAGGTCATGGACCTGCTGCGGGAGGCAGCTCCCCCGCTGGAAGTTCTAGTGCCCTGGATCAGGTAGAGGGATGGTGGTATAGAGGCTGTTAAGGGATCATTATTGGGATGCTGCTGCTGAGTGCCAACCGGTGCAAGATCACAACCCCGACCCCAGGGTGCAAAGGTGTCAATACCAATGTCTGGATATGCCGGCAGGTGAAACGGTTTTGCGAACTGTAATGTCAGCCTCTGTCTCTCCATGTTGAGCCGAAACGACATTATCGCAGTGCTGAGGTTCTCCCAACGCTGCGTGCGTCACACTTTCGTGCCGTGAGCACGCTGGTGAAATTTCCAAAGCTGAAAGTCTTGGACCTTCCGTTGCATCACCAGCCGGCCCTAGAGCAGCAAGAAGAAAGAGTACGGAAGCTTTCAGCCATGACTGTCTCTTGCAGTGTCCGCTGTTGGCCAGGTCACTTCGGCTATCATCCAGTCTTCGAGGCTTCTGTCGCTGCGGCTTACAAGCAGCCTTCAGGAGTGCCCATCAAAGTGACCGTTGCGCCAAACTCGTCCCAAACTAATTTTCAAAGAGCGAACTGTCGACTGAGCCAAGAGATGTTCCATTTTTCAGAGCAAGCTCGTCATTACCTCACTTCGGGAAACGCGCAGGAATCTACAACACGACGTAAAACATTGCACGAAGGATGATCTCTTGAAGCTGCTCGCGGAGGGCGGCCTCCCGCAACTTGAGGCCTGCACTGAACTGCACTGCCCCAATCAGACATCCGAGGGTTTCGGGGTTTACAGTTTCGACCGGTGTAGGTTTTTGGGATTAGGGTTAGGAGTTGATACCCTTCATCCGGGCTGAAAATGTTTCGAAGCCTGCACGCTGGATCATGTTCCTGCATGAAGCAAATTTTTTCCGCAGACAAGAAAAATAGGGCACCCTGAACAATCTTGAACCCAAGGCACTGAGGCTGTAAGTAAGGACTTGTTAAGTGCCCTGAACCCAAAACTTCACAGCTCGAAGTCGTATGGCATATTATAGTGCAGTATGGTACGATTATGGTATAGCATTAGTATGGTACTTTATAGTATAGCATGAGTATGGTACTTTATAGTAAAGCATTAGTATGGTATTTATCGTATAGTATTAGTATGGTATAGTATAGTAGCCAGGATGTTTGGCTCCTCCGCTGTCCTGGACCAGTTCTGGCAGAGGCTGCGAAGCGCTGCCCCCTGAAGAGCATCGGAATCGCCGTGGAGCTCGGGGCTATACCAAAGTGAAGTCAGCCTGTGTGTTTCTACAGCATATCTACGCAGTATGTATGTATGCACGCACATATACATACATACACACATACATCCATACACATCTGTTCATATACACACGCTGTATATGCACATGTACGCCAATGTGAGTGCAGATGCTCAAGTTTTTGTAGATTGGAGCATGTATGTTTGGTTTCGCGTGTCAGGTTCCCTGCGAAGTAGGATAGCCTTGGCTGCCTGTCAGGAGCCCCCATGCGATTTCGAGTCTCTGACGCGAATCATCCAGGACCAGGGTCTCTTGATTTTCGGCTTTGGGTGTTTCGGGCTTTAGAGTTTAAGGATCAAGTCATACTGCTTTTTAAGTCTCGTTTCTGATAGTGCTGTTGCTAAAGTTGTCAGCGTGAGTGTGTAGCCACGAGTGCTACGACATTCGCTCTTCCCCGGCAAGACTTCAAGAGGCCTGGATGCAAAAACTTTTTGGAAGTTTGGGGTGTAGACCTGGGGGCTGCAGGGATGTATGGGTTTAGGCTTCAGTGTTTTAGCTGGCACACAATCCAAGCCCATGCTGAAAAAACAAGTGTTTAAGCTTTCCGCGAAATGCATGTGCGTGACAACAGACATGCCTTGCAACACGCACTTTCACCCAGGCCTACAACAGGAATGGCTTGTACAGCTCCCGACGCCATTCCGGAAACACGGTCAAATGGCTGCAAGCATGACAGCATGGCTGCTCCCTTGAAAATTCACGAACTGGGTTGGATGTCCCACACTTCCCTGCTGGCCCTTTGGTCTTATGATTCCCGTGGACTGCATCCTGCATGTCCCGGGCGATGGCGGGCATTAGGCACACGGGCCCGTCCCTTGAATTGAGTTCCTCGTAATTTCTTTGGCTTGTTCCAAAAAACCCCTCGGGGGTTGAGTCCTCCTTCAGGTTTTGCAATCGCGTTGGCCACGTTGCGGGGTGTGGCGAGGCAGCACTTTAGAGTCTTGGCGTCCAAGCGGTCCGCTGGGGTGCGACGCGGGGCGGATCGGAGGGGTGGGGGTCACATGGGGTCACGATACCGGGTGCGGCGCGGCAGGTTCCATGCTACGGGGTGCGGCATCGCGATATGGGGTGCTTGCGAAACCAATTGCGGTCGCGATGCCGCCCACGGTGGTGAGGGTCGATACGAGGTGCGGCAAGACCTTGGAGGTTCCACGTGGGTGATCGTGGGTGGCTCGCGATGCGGGGTGGGGCGCGAGGCCGCTGAAGTACACTTACGTTACAGCTGTAAACTGACAACGCTCGTGTCACTGCTCGCGAGATGTGCTTTGTGGATGCTTTTTGGGATCCCGGGTTGACCTTGTTTTTTCTGTCGCATGTCCGGATATCAGATATCTGGTACATTGTCGTGCATCATCTTCACAAGAGCTCTTCATCACTTTCTTCTTTCTTCCTTTGATCTTGTTAAGTTGGTCTGCCTCCCTCCCTCTCTCTCTCCCTCTGCTAGGTGGCCTGCCTGCCAGGTTCCTGCCCGATCTTGCCTTCCCTCCCTCCCTCCCTCCCTGCCTCCCCGTCTCCCTGCTCCTTCCCTCCCTCCTTGACGCGGATCGGTTTCCGCAGGCCAGTGGAAGCAGGCTCCAATTCCTCAACATCCCATCCAGGCTGGGCGAGAGTTTCGATACAGCGGAGGTGTTTTGAACCGACCAGCCCTACTAGTAAAGGCTTCATTCATAAGGGCAAAGGTAGTGCACGTCGAGGGATCTTCCTTGCCTTCAGGCTTCAACCGGGACAAGCCAGCAGAAACATCGGCGACTTGCTGGCCGAGCTCTGCCCTGAACTTGAAGGCCTTTGCATGCACACGGCCACCCTCCCGTTGATCCTTGGCTAATCCTGGCTCAGTTTTGCAGACGTTGAGCGATTCAGTGATCGTGAGCTTCGTGCACTACCTATTGTCTGTACCTGTGCATGTTGCAAGGACAACGGCTGGACTATCGCAGCTGCTGCATAGTTGTGCGAAGCAGAACTGCACCCAGAGGGCATGTCCTTAGGCTCTCAATCGTGCCAGGTTCAACCTGTGTATCTCAGCCAAAACTAGCCGTCGAACCACTGTCCGTCCTCTTCTTTGTATCACCAGAGCACCGAGGAAGCTGCACAGAGTATCGCTCTCACACGTGCAGGGAAGCTGTCGCCTGGATGCAAGGGTGGGGGTCTTGTGTTCGTAGGCAGCATGCCCACGACGCAGTCACAAGCATGTTGGCGAGTGGCAGCAGTGGTCATGGTGCTGGTGGCACAAGGCTAGCCCTTCCCCCCCTCACCAGCACAACGGCAGCCTTCGAAATTCAGTTTCCAGCAGAGGCCTCGGTTCCGGTGCGCCGGCCCCGGTGGGGCCGAAAAGGTTGACATTGGCTTCCTGCGAGTGACTTGGACTTCTTTGGAAAGCTTTTCTTTTCCGCGGTTCCCGGTTTTTACCATAGTTTCTCATCGTTGCAGCGCAGGTGGCATTTAACAGAGCTTTGTAGGTTGATGCGACTTCATGGCTTCTCCTTTTCAGACAAAGAAGAGTTCACCGCAAGGGTTCAGTCTGGTGGTGCATTTAGGTCTGTTTGACCTTGGTTGGAAGGCTGCCAATGTAGACAGAGTGTTTTGGAGTCTTGGGAGGCCTCAAGGGCTGGGCACGCAGCAGTGTTTAGGTGATCCCTTCGCACGATTCCTCGAGCTTCTAGTCGTCTCTAGCATTGGGCCCTGGCGCTCGTCGAAGATGGGCCGTGTCTAGTGAAGTGAGTGCTGAAACCCAAAACCCCACAAAAGGACAAACACCCCGAAAGCCACAATAGCACTCTGTATCGAGTCAGAACTTGCCCAAACCTTCAAAGGCTTGAAGCAACAGATGGCATAGTCTCTCTTTGACTTCAGGCTTCGGGGGCCCCTTTCTTTCAGGCTGCCGTCGCTGGCGAAAAGCCCTTTCGCTCTCTGGCTCGATGGGCCCCTGGTCGACCTCAAGCTGGACTGGCCAGGGTTCTAACATAAGATCTGCTTGAATGTAGGATATTTAAACAATGACATGCTGACACGTAAGTTCTTGGGGGTTTTCGGGTTGGCGTCTTCGAAGTCCAGGTACAGGGTGCTTTGGGCTTGGGGGCCTGAGGGTGTGGATCTGGAGCCTATCAGAAGATCCAAGAAGTAGCTGAAAAAAGTTCTAGAGCGCGCGAGTTTAAAGACGCTAGAGTCCCAGAACAAAACAAACTCAAGAACACAAACTGCAAGGGTAGGAAGAGTAAGAAGTGAAAGGCTAGAAATTTGCGGTTTTCATCGTTCCAGGCTTGACATTCCGACTCCTTTTAGCCAGAATAAGGCAGAAGCAGGTCCAGCAGATAGCACAGAAAAGTCAATCTGTATCTATACGTGTATGCATACATATATTTATATATAAATACGTGTGTGTATGCATACATACAGCCGTCTTCACACGACTAAATATATCTGAGTGCATACACTCAGATCTTTCTGCGGAAAGTCGAAGTTCGCCGCAGGAGCGTCTTCCGAACTACTGTCCGGACCCGGAGGAGGTGGAAAAGCTGCTGGCGGCTTCTTCCGTCTCCGAGGAGGGTTCAGGGTTGGTGGTCTGGATGTGGGATATAGGGCGCAGGATTTAGTGACTTATTAATCGAATGTTTTCGTTCAGGCTTTCAGGATTCTGCGATCCGCTTCTGATTTGTTTTTGTGAGGCTGGCAAGCACATCCTATCGTCGCCTTTTTTTGTGCTGGATGCTTTACACATGTTATCGTAGTCGTAGCAATCCACCCCAGAGAAATGCACAGAAGCACGACTGCAAAGCACCAGAGCGGCTTCAAGGAGCAGTGCAGGGAGAGAATCTCAAGAGACACCGATGCACCAGTCTGAGAACTGAGAGGTAAGACCCGAATACATGCGCAGAATTTCTGCCACAACAGTTCAATCCTCGCGGTAAATGCACGCTCATGTATGTATGCGCGTATGTATGTGCGTAGGTAGGTATGTATGTATGACGTATGCACGTGCGTGTGTGTATGCATACAAACAAATGAGCAAGTACAATTATGCTAGACACTCTGGATGCAACGGCAAACGGCAGAGAGAGAGAGAGAGAGGGGGGACTGAACGTTGTGATTTTTATCCCCGAAATTTATGACCGTAGGTACTTCCCTTCTATATCTGGGGGATAAAAAGCACAAATGAAGATGCATGTGTCTGAGGAGAATGTTGAAACACTGTCGTCGTTAACGTAAATTACAAGGCTTTAGCCGAGACAGTGTTCCACATTCGCATCTCACCCCTCGCACCCATCAACACGATGGGGGGGCCTTCGGCCCGAGGGCGCTGACCCGCCCTCATGCCCAGGAGAGAGAGAGAGAGAGAGAGAGAGAGAGAGAGAGAGAGAGAGAGAGAGAGAGAGAGAGAGAGAGAGAGAGAGAGAGAGAGAGAGAGAGAGAGAGAGAGAGAGGAGAGAGAGAGAGAGAGAGAGAGAGAGAGAGAGAGAGAGAGAGCGAAGCGAAGCGAAGCGAAGCGAAGCGAAGCGAAGCGAAGCGAGAGAGAGAGAGAGAGAGAGAGAGAGAGAGAGAGAGAGAGAAATTCTGCAAGTCACGGGTGTCTTGCCACTGCTTGGAAAGGGGAACGAGGGGACGGCCAGGTTCAGGGAGGGGTGGGTAGGTACAGGCAGTGCAGTTGCGCAAGGTTCTGTTAGGGATCAGGTGGGGAGGCAGGCCAGGTGGGTTTGTACAGAGCGCAGGCGAGACTGCAGTTGTGCGCTCGTCGGGGGGTGGAGCCCACCGAGGAGCAGTGCACGTGGCAACAAGCCCAAAAAATTCCCGTGGGGGTGAGAACGACGCAGCGCCCAGAAGCCCTGCTGATTGGTTGTGTGTTGAGGTCTAGCGGTCTGTTTTGGCCAAAGCAGGGAAAGGGCACCCGCTCTCGTCCTCACCATCCCCGGAAGGGGCCGAACTGACCTTGGACGTTGCGCGCCGCGAGGGGGTAGGCCTTCGGGCCAAGGGGTTGCGGGCAGCCCCTAGACCCCTTAGCAAGCAAGCAAGCAAGAGAGAGAAATTATGTTTGCATGGCTTCTGCCCGTGAATCTGTACATTTGTCTGCCTCCATGCCTACATGTGTCTTTTTCAGTCTACCGTCTACCTGTCTATCAATCTGTCGGTCGACATATCTATCCAGCTACTTGTATCAATCTGTCCATCTATCTTCTATCTATTTGTCGATCATCCATGTATCTATGCCGTACCTGTATTTTTGTCTTTGCGGGTCTGTTTGTTTGTGTGTTCGTTTGTTTGTTTGCTTCCTGTTCGTATCTATCTACCTATCTACATAGCTATCGATTCCGCAAGCATCACCCTCCCAAAGCTTCCAAAAGTTTACTACCGGGGTTGGGCGTAGAATTCTGGAGGACCTTGCTCTTCGCAGCCTTCGCCTGGCCCACCTTCCCAAGCTTCCGGCGGCAGTGCCTCTTGCAGACTTCAGAGATTCCGAGTCTCGAGAGTCTGACTGCCATCGGGGGTTGCGATGAGTTGGGCAGCAATCCGAGATGTGGTGGGTATGTCGCTCTTGCGCAGGCCTCGCTGCAGCTGATGTCCATCTCATCGCTGACGTCGCTGAGCTTGTGCAATGTTGATCTGCCCGGCGAAGCTTGGGAGGTGCTCCCGAAGTTGCAAGGCGGGCTTCCTCGCGGCAGCAAGATGTCATTTCTTTCGGGAGAGTGTTTTTCTCTCGCTCGCAGGATTGCGTGACCTCACGATCCAGAGGAGCGATGCCAGCTTGGAAACTTGCTGTCAGTGCTGCCGTTGCTTTTGCCAATGCTGATCTATGTCTGATGTTCGCCAGGCGAGCACCGTCGCTTGGCTTCTTGGGTCATCAAGGGGTAAGCAAGAGTTTTGCCCAAAATTGCTGTGTTGTGAAGCTGTGAGGCATGAGAATGCCAGTCATGTTCAAGTGCTGTCTCATGCACCTCGCGGCCTTGGAGGCCAAACTCTGCCACCGGCGCAGAGATGCGGTCGCCGGCCCGCGCTTGGCCTTGGCTTACTTCAGGTTTCGGTTCTTCGCTGCCACGATCCGACAGCGTACGAACTGTTGCGAAGACTTCATGAAGAGGCCCCAGGAACAGAGGTCCCAGCATCTGGCCGCTGCAACACGCCAGGGCGACGGCATTGCCGGCTTTGGAGCGCGCTCTGCTGCAAGTGGTGCAGAATTGTCGGAGCTTGAGGCAGTGGTGACATGGTGATTTGCAGTGCTGGAGTCAGATTCTAGTCCGTCCCTTGCCACCAAAGCTGCAAAATTCCGAGCCTCCTCGAGCCTCGGGCCTCGGCTTGAAGCACAAGTGCACAGCAGGAAACTGGACCTCTATGGCATGCAGTCCGCCATTACCGACAAGCTGTGCCTGCTGTTGTTGCACAGTGCCTCGGTGAATAGTGTTTGCTTGCAGACGGCAGTGCGGTATGTGCTGCTTGCGGTGTTTGCTGCATTGCCTGTCCAATGCCGGTGATGCTAGTCTCAAGCACGTCTGTCCGAGACACGCACCGCACACCGCATGCAGGGGGGTCGGCCTGTCGACAGTGGTGCTGCCCAACACATGCCCAACACGAAAGTATTATCACTCGGATATGTTATGATAAGGCTTGCCAACTTGAAGTATAGCCAACGAAGACATGCAGCGTAAGAGCACCTGCGGTGAAGCCAGCAGCTATTGTTTACATGATCCCCTGTGTCGTGCAGCTCGATGAGATGTTGTGCCTTTCGATCGACTATGCGACATCACCCACGGAGCTGCAGGTAATCTCTCCTGGCCTTATGGCAGTGGTCTTCGGTTCCTTCGCCTGGACCTCCGCACCTTGTTGCATCCTAGAACATAGAAGTCTGCGAGTAGTTGAACCAGAAGGTCCACACTCGAGAGGCACGAAGCGGCCAGTGGGATGAAAGCGTAGGCGAGAACACACAAAACCAGGAGAGACTTTCGTTCATGTGATTTTTGCGACGGAAGCCCTGCGTTCGTGCGGAAGCAGGTTGAGCTACAAATCCACGATTCCTCGAAACTGAGCATGAACTGTTCTTTTGAACTACCCAAAGTTCGTGCCCGAAGCACCGGAACCCCCCAAAGGTTGAATCCTGGATTGGATAGCATTTCGGAGTTACAGCTCGCCGCATTCAACCCACCACTCGCCGAGAGACCTCACCTGGCAAGTCCGAGTCGTGAGAGTGTAAATCCAAGGCTACGGTTGTGCCGCCGAAGAGGTGCTCCGTGCCGTGAAGGCGGAAGCTTCCAAGGGCCCGAGGTGCTGTCCCTCAAAAAACATGAGTATACGTATATTATACTATATTATACTATAGTATACGATAGTTTGCCATATTTCATGATATTCGATCATATCATATTATATCATGGTAGTTTACGTTATGCTATATTACAAGGCGGCACAAGATCTAGCCTTGTGCCTTGCAGGCTTCGGCGGCCCCAGCCATGTCGGTTCGCATTCTGCCGCAGGACAGCAGGATCTGGGTGCTCCGATATGCAATACAGAGGCTTAGGGTTGTTTAGGGTTTAATACGTTTAGGGTTTAGGGTTTAGGGCAGCAATCGTAGGCGCTGGCCGGCACCTCAGTCCGTGCTGAAAAGGGCAGCAATCGAACAAAACTGGCAAGTGTTGAGTTGTTCTGTTTGTTTTCCCTGAGATCTGTCCGTGTTCTGGAGCTGGTTGACACGATCACAGTGTGCCACAGCCTTTTGTGCTGCTTCTTCCCCCTTCCAGGCCATATTTACCAGGTTTACAAAACTACTTCCAGGAGGCTGCAACTCAGACTCACATGAATTTTGCCAGGATTCGTCGTCGTTGTCGCCGGTGCTGCCAGGCCTTGTGAAGGCCCAGGCGAAGATTCGTGGGTACCTTGCCGCTCGGATGTAATTTCTGTCTGCAACCTGACGAGAAGGCGAGGAGGTGCTTTAGGGGCGGTGGGGAGGGGTGCACCAGTTGAGGTCAGAAAGCAAGCCGAGAGACACAAGTGGACGTTATGGGCTGAGCTTACACCATCTACATCTGAGATCATCTGAGACCGGTAGTGCGTTTGTTCCAAGCTGAATCTGAGGCACATGTTCCCCCTCAGCTCCTGCTGCACACAGTGAGCAGCATGTTGAAGCAGTGCAAACATAACTGCTAAAGCCGGTCGACAGCTCGGGAAGCAATTCGCAACAACAGCTCCTTGAAGCGCTTTTGGGGTACAAAGACTGCTCCCAAGCCGGTGGACTGGGTAGACGAGGTAGTTCTGAGACTCTGTAGCTTCGAAAGTCTGCGTGGAGCTTGCCGAGTGCTTCTCAACCATAGCACGACATGCGTTAATTGTCTAAGTACCGCTGGTTCGATGCCGGCTTCGTCAGTCGGATTCGGATTCCTGACAGGGCACCGTGAGCTCCATGGAGGGCACGTCTGCAGAAGGCAGGGCAGGGATGCTTCCCACAACTTGTCGTCATCATCTGGCCTTTTGTTCTTTTATGCCGGCGACTGGCAAGTGCGAAGCTGGGTCGGCAGTGGCCGTGACATGTTGCACGTGAACATTGCTACCATGCCTTCACGTGCCTACAACATTCAACAGGATCATCGGGCTCGCCGCTACAGATATTTCCATGTTTCCTCAACTCGAAAAGATGGGCCATGCACGAGCTTGAATTCCCTACTGTAGCAATCCCTTCTTGTAACGACGATTTGGGAAGTACAGTGCTGGAGCCATGTGGAGAGAAGCCAGTGCTTGTCGAGCAGCATGTTTGCTGGCTCTGTGCATTCTGGAATCACAAGGACGCTTCCAAGCACAAAGCTTGCAGGGCGGCTGTGAGACGCTGGACTTTGAGGAAGATGCCTCGCCTGCTTTTGCAGCTGTTCAGCTTACGGCATCGCTTCATCGCAGCTCCGAAGTCAGTGCTTCCAGCGCAGGTCTGGTGGAACCCAGCTGCCTGCTGGCAGCACCAGGGCTGTCGGCAGCCATCCACCGCTTCCTCGGCAAGCTTGATCGCAGCCCTGCGCCCGCTTCTCTTGTGGAGGTGGAGGTCGGCGAGGTGGCTCTGGCCGAGGCCGCCACCAGGGCCGGCTGCAACTTGGCGAGCCTGAGCCTGACGAAGCAGGGAAGCGACCCACGCCTCGCCTCCGCTGCCCGCCGCCTGATCAGCTTGGTGGATTCGCTCGGGGGCCGGGAGGGCCTGCGCCTGATGCCATCGAGTGAAGCAAGAAATGGGAGCACTACGAATACCACCTTCTTCTTCGAAAGCGTGGACGAGGCCTCAGGCCGCGTCGGCACTGGCATGCTTGGGCAGGGCTGTGGTGACAAGAGCGTTTCTGAGGTGGCCATCACAGTCACACAAGATGCACCCTTCCTGTGGACCAACCTGACCGGTGCTGGCATGAGCTTCAAGATTGGCCCGCCCTGCGCCGGGACCTACCTGATCTCGGGCCAGATGTGGCCTACGAAGGCGACGGCTGAGGGCATCTCGGGCAAGATCCGCGCGGGCTTCGTGAACCTCCGGTCCACCATGACTGGCACCTGGAGCACCGGGCCCTCGGGGCTTTTGGGGAACCTGACGGTGGCTTTTCAGGAGCTCCTGGAGGTGGAGTGGACCTGGAAGCCCGAGCCCTCGGAGCCCTCGGAGCCCTGAGAGTTCCCCCCACTTTTGAGGCTGTGAAGGGCGCTCCTGGCCTCTGCGAGGTGTGGCCCCGCGGAGACTTCGTCACTTCCGTCGGGCAGTGATGCGTTCTGACAGCTGTCCCTGAGCTTACACAAGATTTGCTTGCAGGGAGGGATGTGCGAGAAAAAGAGGGTCCCGTGACACCCCCCAAACTTTAACTTTCACCCTATTGCAGGGCTTGGGCTTCGGCCACCAGACGGTGGGTCAAATGTGGGCTGTTGGATTCTGCGAAGGCCTGGATGCGCAGCTCCTGCTCTACATGAGCCGCTTCCGAAGCGTCTGGGTACCCCTCCGGCTTGTTTTCTTGAAATCAAGGGTCTGGCCGTTGCTGCCGGCAGGATGCGCCGGAAGAGCACGAGGAGCTGCCTCAGGCCCCCGTTTTTGAGATGTTGCAGCTACTTGTAGTCGATATGGGACGGCGAGAGCGTTTCGGTCGGATCGGCAGGCCGCCTTGCCTGCATCCAGCCGGCGGGCAGACGAAGCAGTGCGCCTTGTGCCAAGCAAGCATCGGAAGGATACAACAAAATCACAGAGACAGCCATAAACATGTAATTAAGAGTGTTCCGGCATTACACTCATCAGCGGGGACGAGCATGCTCAGGTCGGCTGGTGGATGTGTCCCCTCCGCAGCCCCTGGCGGCAATCTCGAGCATGGAGCCGCCGGACCGTGGCGGTGGAGCCCCGAGGTTGAAAGCGCTTGCTGCTGTTGCGCAATGCGAAGCCAGCTAAGCATGAGGGTAATGGCAATCCGCTGATTGCCACAAGTGAGGTTACAGCTGCTGCTGCTTCTCCTTCTCTGTTGCTGCGGCCACCGCCTGCTGTTGCTGCTGCTGCTGCTGCTGGAATTACGACTACTACTACGTCTACGCGGAGTAAGACTAGGACTAGGGTCTTACTGCTAGTTATTGCTACTGTTTTCTACGACCACCATTGCTATTACCACCAGACCACTCCCCGTCACTCTCTCCGTTGCACTGCCTCTGCCAACTGCCATCACCGCTAGTGCGAGGACGACTGCTACACTGCCTACTGCAACCTCCTCGCTTCTCCTGCCTTGCTACCTGCGGAGTTGGAACTTCCCCTCCCCACCCCACTCTTCATGATTCGTGTTTCGAGCCTCAGGAGACCTGAGCCAGCCCTGGGGAGTTTTCGTCACGCCGAGATGCGAGGAGTGCCTGGGCTGAGGTCCCAACGAATCCCGGCCCGGTGCTTCGGATCCAGGCGGCTGCGCTACAAGAGCGTAAACCCGCTGGCAGTCAGACGTGTACCGGAGGCAAGCCCGCTTCCGCCGCGGGAGTGGGCGACGTGAATCCCGGGGCGATTGCGGTGCCGCAACCCACGGAGCACGCAGCCGACGGCGCGCCGCCGTCAATGCGGGAACTTCCACAAGGCGGCTGCCACGTCGGCTCCCGACCCTTCTCTGAGTGTGAAGCTATCAAACCAGGGCACGAACGGGCAGCCGTTTTAGCACCAGGCCACTGTTTAAGAACCGGTTTCGCCCCTTGTGGGCTCGTTCAGCTTTCTGACCCTTGTGCCAAAAGCTGCCGTGACATGTCGTCTTGATGCTCGTCGTGAATTGTTTCAAATTTAAAACGTCTTGATGCTCAGAAACCAGTACGTGACGCACCGTGGGGAATGTTATGAAGCATTTGGCGTCGCTACAGTACCGGCATACCGCCGGGTGTGTTCCTCGCAAATCTCTATGTGGGACAAGCTGACAGGATCGTGTACAATACCCATCGCGATGAAATAGCTTTCTATGCTCGCTTAGTCGATGACTCCGTGGTTTGTGCTGCATGTGTGGATGATGTACACAACACCTTGAGTTCATGGAAGCCCGAGCTTAAGTGGGACATTACAAGTCGAGGAGGCCGCTTACAGCATGGGGATCACGCTGTCGCTTTTCTCGACCTACAGTTGTCACACATAGACGGGCGCATGGAGTGGCAAACCCATCGCAAAGAGTTGAATAGTTACTTGTATGTGCCAGCCGCCAGCTGCCATCCAAGATCAGTGTATGCCAGTACGATCCGGGGTGAAGTGTGCCGTTTGCTGCGAACCAACAGCAGCAAAACCAACTTGATCAAGCATTTGAGGTTCTTCGCAAAGAGGCTCGCAATGAGAGGTCATTCTTACATGGATGTGTGGCGTTCCATACAACTTTGTTTGCAGAATGGCCGAAGAAAGACTCCAGAGATCAAGAAGTCCAAGAAGTTCTTTATGTTCATCAAGTACAGCCGTTCAGTTCCCAGCCATGTAATCAACAGCTGCTTGAAGCACGCTAGCGATTTGCAACGTTGTTTCAAAGATCCAATTTCTTTGAGCTTGGCATATACCGTACAGCCCAATGTGTTCAAGCATCATTTTGTCGACAATTGGCTTATGCCCAGTCGAGACCAGTAGCTCTTGCACAGACAGGGTGGGTGGTGAGGGTCTGTGTTTTAAATTTAAAACAATTCACGACGAGCATCAAGACGACATGTCACCCCAACCCCGACCCCGACCCCGACGAAGTCTGCAGAGTCCGAGCCTTTGGAGCCTCTCTCTGTTGCCCTCCTCGCCTTTCATTCGTGGTCACAATCCTCACATGCTTGGGATTAAACATCCCATCTTTGTCTGTGCTATCTCTCTTTTGGTGCGGAGGTGATATATCAGAGGAGCCCAGTCGCGTCCAAACGGAAGGTTTGCAACCCAGTTTCGGCAACAGATCATCGCCTGCTTCTGTTCCCTGGCCTCAGCTACAAGTCCAGTCCTAACATCCAACGGAGCGATCTTCGACAAGTTGTTGCAGCCTCCGTGCCATGCAACATGAAGGTGACTTGTCCGATTTGCAACCTGCCTGGTGGAACCGAGGCCAAGCAGCAGAAGCCGAAGCCAGCCTGGTGCCCAGACGCTGCAAAGGATTCGTCGGCTGTTTCAGGTTGTCCAGTACCCTGCATCTAGCGTGGGAAGGAAGTGCATTCCAGCAAGCCTTCCAAATCGTACTCGGCATCCGGATGAATCACGGCATATGCTGAGCGGCAAGTTTGGTCAGATGTCGCCTGACGATGGACCAAGCCCCAGCTGTTGCACAAGGTTGCAGAAGAGCTGCAGCCGATTCTGCACGCGTAATTTCTTCCTTGCTACAAAAAAGGCACACTGGTTACGCAAAACCCGAATACTAGAGATGTGCCTGCACAGAAGCATCCAAGAATTGACAGCGTGACTCTCGGCCATGCTGCGAAGATGCTGCGGTTGAGGTGCTTGCCTCAAGGACTCCCCACATTGAATCGCAATGTTGCGACTGGTTTGGGTGCTGGCTGCTTGCCGCGCCGACGTGTTGGATTGGCTCTTCAGAAACATGCTGGGCCTTGGCGCCTTCGTGGTGTTGCTGCTGCTATAACTGGCCTGGCTGCGAGCACCACGAGCAAGTCTTTTGCCTCCGAGGCGCGGGCACGCTCAGCGCTTCCTTCGGAGAGAATCGATGAGGTAGGCTACATCACGGACTTGGAGGGCGACTTGGACACCTTCAACCGCTACCTGGGAAGCGGCAGAGCTGTGCTTTTCAGGGACGAGAAAGAGGAGCTCCAGCTTCGCTCCCCGACCGCTGCCTTCGTTTTCGGTGGCGATCTGTTCGACCGGGGCCCTGGAGACCTGCAGCTCGCCAGGGAGCTCGTCGCCCTGAAAAAGAGGCATCCCGACCGCGTCTTTTTGATCATGGGAAACCGGGATATTAACAAAATGCGTTTCACCGCGGAGCTTCAGGCGGAGGAGGTCGCCCTGGGCCCCGACTCTGCCTTCCAGCCGTGGTGGGATCCGAAAGCCACGAAGTTGCCAGATTTCTTGGCCAAGAAGGGCTGGACGGACACGCCCGTGGCACGACTGAAGTGGATGCTGACGTGCACTTTGGGCTCGCCGCAGGCTTTTGCTCACCGGCGCGCGGAGCTTGCGCGCCTCGCGGGCAAGGACGTCGCTGAGATCTCGGAAGAGGAGGTGCTGGAGAGCTATTCTCAGTCGGTGCTCGACAAGAACGGCGCGGTAGTGGCTTACCTTCGGAATGCACAAGTTGGGGTGATCATTGGCGACACCCTCTTCGTCCACGGAGCGGTGGAGAAGCAAGCTTTGGGCTTCGTGCCTAGCCCGACACTGCGCTATCGGAGGAACAGCCCCGAGGAGGTGCAAGTAGGCTGCCGCCGAGGCCTTGCTCTGCGTGAGTGGATCGATGGGCTGAACGACTTTGCTTTCCAAGAGGTCGAGGCCTGGCAGCGAAGCCCCTTCTGGCAACCGTCGCCCACTGGCCGCGTCCGTGGAGGGGAAGCGCTCATGGCCTACCAATGCCGCCCAGCCATGGCGCTGCACACGGTGGTGGTGACCTGCTACGTGGACGGACATGCCATGCCGGCAAGGAAAGCCATCGACGAAGATAAGTTCGAAGGCTACCAGAAGTGCTCAGATCCCATGAACAAGGAAGTTCTGGAGTACCTGCTGGACGGAGGTGTTCGGCGGGTCGTGGTTGGGCACAAGCCCAGCGGTCAGGCTCCGGCAGTCCTGCACACTGCTGGCCGGGATGGCTTGGGCTACGAAGTAGTGTCTGCGGATACCAACTACGCCAGCTCCGAAACTTCCTGCCTGCGCGGGGGCTCCTGGGCTGAGGTGCGCATCTCACTGAAAGCCGGCAGCAGCCAAACGCGATTGCACGGAGTCTTGTCGGACGGCAGGGGCCAGTATGATTTCCATCTGCCTGCTCTGGGGACGAGTACTTCAGAGTGGGAGGACGGAGATCCCCTCATCGGCCGCGAGACGAGCGACGGCTGGTGGGTTCGCGTTAGGCTCGGTGGACTCAAGGACTCTGAGAGTTTGTACCTCTTGTCCAAGGGCAGTGGGCGAAAGGCGAAGTACGTCACAAAGGGAGCTGGCCAGTTCCAGGTCTTTCAGGAGCCTCCCTCTCTCAGTCCTCGCGGCAGCGCCTCTCCTAGTGCATCCTGAAGCCCCTTGCAACGACAAAGTGGTGTTGACAAGGGAGCCTTAGGCCGGCAGAGTGGCAAAGCCTCCTCACAAGAAATCGCAACGCCTCACAAAAAAAGGGGGGAGGGGACGGGGGGACCCGGTCTTTGCTTCGGAAGCTCTCCGACGCGAGAGCCACAGATTCCCGCCGGCGTTCAGGGCCGGCGCCGGGCGAGGATGCCTTGGAGCAGCCCGCCCCCGTGAGCGCACCGCGTGGAGGCAGGATGGAACGGGGAGCACAGGGAGCGACACAGTAGGGGCTCCGATGGCGGTGGCAGTGCAAAAGCATGTCTTCCCTGGGTTTCAAGGCCCGTTGGTGCGCAGAGTCACCTCCAGCGAGGAGGACGAGGCTGTTGATTTCTGCCGGATAGGTGACTGAGTCTGCGAGAGAGAGCGCGAGAGAGAAGTTTTACCCCCCTGCACCATAACCCTGGCGAAAGAAAGAAAGAAGTTTTATCAGTTTTATCTTGGACAGAGGTAGGACGAGGTATGACCTCCCAGATCAGCTGGCTGTAGAGCCACAAGAACTGTCTACATTCCTAGAGCAGGGGTCCTGGTGCATTCAAGTCTGTGTTCCGTTTCGCAAAACGTTGCAAGTTTCATGTTGGAAAAGAACAGGGCATGGGGTTTGGAGTTCAGATTTTGAACATCCAGCAAGTTCAATTTCGGAAGAAAGGGTCCACCGCTTCAGGGTCGTTTGCACGACAACAGGGGCAAGGCCTAAGCTGCCACGAGCGATACCCGGACCTTCGGATTCCGACGACCTCCAAGAGCCCGCTATGTCTCGTCGTAGTCAAACCGACCTGCCGAAAACGAACCTCGTGTGGATGCGTCCGAGTTGCGAGAGTGTAAACCCTAAGCATCACCAGCAAAAAGAGGGCAGCAGCTCACCGGACTCTGGCAGCTCAGCGGACAGCCTCGCGAAGGCCCGCCGCTCTGCCAAGACGGGTAAAATGTGAGTTTCAGAAAATATGGGACCCTAATGTAGTGCCCTAAATAGTAGGATCCTTATTATAGGGACCCCTGAATAAGGTACCCCTGTTCGGAATCTCCCAAATGATGGGGACATGTAAAGTTTGGTTTCGGTTTGAGGGTTCAGGGTCTCCCACAGGGTTTCGGGGTCCAGCACCCCAGCCAAACGGCTTTTGAGTTCCACGCGAGGGTTTAGTTGGGCCTTTCCAGACTTTTCCTGCCTACTTATATAGCCCTTTCCGAGACAATTCGGGGCTTCGTGTGCTTAGTGCAGATTCCAGGTTTGACTTCACGGCCTTCGCATGTGGTGTGAGTTCGGCACGGCTGGGGTTGCATGTTGTGCTGGATTCTGGATTTGGAAGTCTAAGTGACCACGGGCCGAGTATTGTCACTGTGGAGTTGTCACCTCGCAGGCGAAGGCAGCTCCGAAGGAAAGGCCGCTGCATGACAGTAGCGAAGTGCGGAGCTCGAGCGAGGGGACATTGCAGTCAGGCACAAGCATTAGTCTTACGATTATTCTTGATATCTTCTGCGAATGCTAGTACTATTTCGATTGCTGCTTTTTGTTGTCCATGCCGAGGATGCCAGCAGCACAAGCAGCAGTGGAAGCATAGAGCGCTCGTGACCGATGCCCATGTCAGAGTCCCCCCGTATGGATTTGCAAGTGTGGGCTGTCCGTGACAACATTCCATTTCGGGTTCCCGCTGGAGATAACTGCCGGTGCCTGTCATGAGCTGTAATTCAGAGCAACTCTCCTTCGCCTCCCGTGCCTCGGTGGAGAAAAGCGTGGCGACCGCACAGGACTATCCGAGTTCCAAAGCAAAGGGTGCCAATGTGTGACGAAGTGAGCTCGTGCTTGCAGCATCGCCCCCCCCCCCCCCCCCCAAATTCATTGCAGCCTGAAAACTGCAAAATCAACGAAGCCTCGAGGGCCAAGCGTGGGCTGAAGAGTTGATGGCGTCAAGTAGATGCTTGCCGGAGATCCGTTGGCACTGCCGCTGCTTTGGACCCAGGATGAAAGTCATGGTGGGTTCCTCCAGGTTGTTGTCTTTTTGAGTTTCAATGATAGCAGATTCAAGCATATGTCTTTTGTTCAAGGTGCCTCGAAGGGAATCCTTGTAAAGAAGCACCCCTTCAAATAGAAGGAACTGAGCGCAAAATTGAGGGGGGAGCACCAGCCCGTACTCACGAGACAACCAGCACCCATTTTCATAGACGGTCGCACGATCACACCTCTCTGTACGTTTTTTGCTGGCCGTTTTTGTGCAAAGCCGCCCCAGACGCGGCAATCGCACCTCAAAAGCCCATGGACGACGTGCACCTTGGCTTGGTTTCAGGCTCAACGGCTTTGTCGCGACTTCAGGCTACATATGATTCACTATGCCTTGTATATACTAATAGAGTCTACATCATGCAGTATATAGTGTCCAAGTATATATATATATATACATACACATATACACATGAATTGTGTATATGCATTTCTCTCGCGCTCTCCATGTATACATGTATATATACGTGGCATTAGATCATGCCTCCCTTAAGAGCCCCCCCAAAACGAGCCCCCCCAGCTATTTGCTATTATTTGTCTCTTATCTGCCCCTATTTGTCGTTTGCGTGGTCCGGGCAAATAAGCGACATTTAAGGGCATTTAGCGGCATTTAGCAGACAAATAAGGACATTTAGCGGCGAACAGGGTTTTGTACGCTTCCCGGCTCCGGGCTCAGGGTAGAAAGGTTTATTTACGGGCTTCAGGGTCTGAGGGTTTAGGATTCAAGGGTTTCAAGGTTCTAAGTCTATTGAAACAAGGCGTTGATGTGCTTAGGGTTCCAGGTCAGGTCTGTTGAAACTGCGGTTCCTTCCTGTTTAGGGTCTGGGGGTTTACGGTTGCAGGTCTGTAAAAACTGTTCTGTTCAGGGTTTAGGGGTTTGAAGTTCCAAGTCTCTTGAAACTACGCTCCTTTATGTTTAGGGTTCAATTCAAGGGTTTAGGGGTTTAGGGTTCCAGGTGTGTTAGTGGCTTCGGCTTGCATGGGTTCAAGGGTTTAGCAGGCTTTCAGCTTGGGTGGGGACAGTAAGGGGCAGTGGCAAGCGCTGACATGAGCTTTTGGAAGGCAAGGCGCAATGGAGAGGAATGCGCGCACGTAAGGGGCAAATAAGGGCAAATAAGGGGCAAATAAAGCGCAAATAAAGCGCAAATAAGGGCAAATAAAGGGCAAATACGGGCAAATAAGGGGCAAATAAGGGGCAAATAAAAATAAGGGGCAAATAAGGGCAAATAAGGGCAAATAAGCGGCAAATAAGGGCAAATAAGGGCAAATAAGGGGCAAATAAGGGCAAATAAGGGAACATAAGTGGCACATAAGGAAAATAAGGGGCCCCTCTCAGACACACACGCCCTCCCCTGCCCACCCACTGGGTTGAACCCAACCGTTCCACCCACCCACTCACACCCACAACTCAACACCCATCCACTCTCTCTGCCCACCCACCCACCCACCCAAAACCCACCCAAAACCCACCCCACCCCCACCCATCAGCCGCAATGGGTCGTGGAGCAGCAGCACACTCGAGGGCGGGGCCTTGACCAACCCTGCCCACGCTGCCAACCCACAAAAGAAGCTGGACGAGCGTCGCCGGCTTGATTCAATCGGCCTTCGTGGCTGGCGCATTCCCACTGCGACTCTGCAATCTGGATGGATTTAGGGACTCACCCAAGGGACAAATAAAGAACGAATAAGAGACATATAGCGGCATTTAGCAAACATTTAGTGACATTTAGGGGTTTCGAGGAAAACAACCACAGGCAATTAAGGGCAAATAAGGTCGGATTTTGCGGGGGCTCGTTTTGGGGGGGCTCTTAAGGGACACATGATTAGATGAGTTTTGTTCTTATGTCATAAATATACTTATGTCATAGAACGGTCGATTATATTCGGATATCTTATGGTACACTACACTACTCACTTCACTGTCATGTAGTAGCATATTGTATTTTTTGCTTATTAGATTACATTATGTTGCGTATGACTAGACTATGTGACGCTATATGGTGTTATTTCACGTTGTGCTGTCATGCTATGATGTGCTCGTGATGTGGTATCATTATATACTCTATTGTGACCTTTCATATCAGTCGTTTTCTCTGATGGTATATGATGCCATGTTATGTTACCTTACATTGTATACCTTATACTATTTTATGCTGTCTTATGTCATCTTATGTAAGCCAATGCTATCTTATACTGTCTTACACTATCTTATGCTATCTTATATTGTCTTATATTTTCGTACATTACCTTACATTATTTCATATTGTCCTTAATTTTCTTATGCTATTATACTTTATCAATTTTATTATCTGTATTGTGTATTATACTATCTTATCTTGGCTTGTCTTGTCTCCTCTTATCTCATGTTCTACGAGGTTACATTGTACTACATTATCGGGTTAGATTATGTTGGACCATATTGGATTGGATCATATTATATGTTGCTATATCTTGCATTGTATACTACTAAATTGTGTTATACTGTAGTATTATGTTGTGCTGTATAGTGTTTTTTGTCACACGTTGTACAATCAATTATGTTTATGTTGTACTATGTTGTACTAAACTATTCTATTTGGTCTGGGGCGTGCGATGAAGACACGAGGCTGCAGCAGCTGCAGCACAAGATCAACCGGACGCACCCAATCTGTGTTCCGTCCGTGAATGACAAGGACACGACTGCAGCGGCGTAAGAATGACCAATACTGGTCCGTCGGGTTCCTCAATCAACTCGTGCTATCATATCTATACGTATACACATATGTACATACATACATATACACACACACACACATATATATATATATATACACGAGAAAGGCCCAAAGCGGCTTCTTAAGGCCCTAGAAAGGCGCGGTTGGCAAGGGCTTGTGATGAGGAGGGCCTCCTGGTCTTGGTCTTCTCGTCACGAGGGCAAACACCACTACCACCTTATCAACCGTCAGCACACGGATCACAACCCTTGCTATCAGCATCAGTATGCAACAGTCACCACCACGACCATCCTCATGACTTGGGTTTGCTCCTTTGAAGTATGTCAGAGATGGAGCCCACAGCAAAGCTGGTGGAGGAGACGGGCAGTCGTTTGTGTCATTGGTCGCCGCTTGCCGATGCATTGTTCCTTGTCTGAACAGTGCCATTGCCACAAGGGGCTTGGGACTTTAAGGCTGGCCGTAGAGACTACAAGTTTCGGGAAATCTGGTGTGGCCGGCCGCAGAGTCAAGTGTCTTGGAAGGTCGGCCCAGAACAAGTTGAGATTGTTTCGTGCTCCTCTAGTTCCGGCGAGGTGAGTTTCTGCCGAGTCCCGGGATGCGATGCTTGCTGATTACACACAGCCGTATTGAATGCCGGCATCGTGTTTGTTCGACTTCTGTTTGCCTGAGAGCTCCGTGGCAGCTAGCAGTACCGGGCACGGCACATGTTGTTCGCACCGAGGGGCAGCAATGATCCCAAATCCGGTGGCGAGTGGTGGGCCATTCTTGACAAGCTAGCAGCAGAGGAGCTCATGTTCTGCATGAGGGTTCAAGTTGAGACGCGTCAAAGACAGATGACTCGACCCGCTCCTACGTGGCAGGACTAGTCAGGCAAAGTGAATCGGCCGCGGTGGCAGTCGTAGTGTCAATCATCTGTTGTTATTCCCGCATGGGGCCGCCATCAGCACTAGATGGCCAGAAGGCCGTTATAACAACAGTCACGGTGTCAGTGCAACTCATTGCCCTCCATCTTTAGTTGCCATGCCTGTAACCCCTGTCTCGATCTGTCTCCTAGTGTTTTTCCCATCAGCGTCACCATGCTGTCTCCAGCGCAACTCTGAGACTCTGCGCCGGTGCCATCGTAGCCATCAGCATAGTCATCATAGTCACCATTCAAGTGAACACCGCATCAGAACAGCACCCCTATCACAGAGCCTGCGACCATGATCGTTGTCGTGGCTTTCCCGGACCATCCAAGCTCGGGAGGATCCAGGTTGTGGCGCTGCCATCGGCTGTCTGGTTGGCTTGGCGCTGGGCGACGCGTGTGGCGCACCGTGCTTCTGCAGAAGACTTCGAGCTGTGGGAAGTGTTGGGTGTTGTGTGCAAGAGTTATCTCATCCGTGGCTTCACCTGAGAACCTTCAGGGTCTATGCAGCTTTAGGTTGCAGAGCCTCCGATGGTTTTGGCTTCAAACTAGATAGTTTCTCACGGGTTCGTGGGCTTCGACGACTCTGTGTGCACCAAGACCAAAAAAGCCGCCGGAATCCTGAAGCCTCCAAGCCCTACTCGTAACGGAGTTTAGGGTTTAGGGTTTAGGGTTTAGGATTTAGGGTTTAGGGTTTAGGGGGCGCCTGGTCCTTGCAAGCAAGCCTGCAGCAAAAGGGTTTAGGGGGCGGCAGCAGTCATTGGGAGCGACAGCAAGAGTTGCCATAGTGGAAAGCATGACGAAAGCATGACGCAGCGGCACGAAGAGTGATAATTACAAGGGTACCAAAGATGAGGGCGTTATGCATGTTATAGTAGATCATGATATCAAGAACCTGCTGGCATTACCCACGTCCTTTTTCTTCAGACAGCGGCTGCAGCCCTAAACCCTAAGCCTTAAACCCTCTCAGTGTAAGACTGCAAGCTTGGGGCCCGCAAGCCTCTGTCTGATAGACATTCCAACTAACACGCAGTGGCAGGTGGAAAAGGGGCGAGTTAAAAACAAAAACCCTCAGTGTGTTCAGGTTAGAGTTCTGTGCTGTCGATTCCCGGCTCCCGGCGCCTTGGCAAACACGGGATGCAGCTCATGGAGGGGTTGAAGGGTTTGGGGTTTGGGGTGAAGAGGGCTTAGGGTTTCTAAGCACTTTGTAGGCCTGGATGCAAAAGGGTTTAGGGTTTAGGGTTCCTGTGCGGCAAGCTACAAGGCGTCCTTGCATGCAAGCCTGCAGCAAAAAAGGGTTCCTGTGGGTGAAGTTTAGGGTGTAGGGTTTGGGGGTTTGGGGTTTCGGGGTTTAGGGGTTTGCCGTGCGCGTGAACATGATGTGTCAGTCGGACTGCTCAGATGTAGGGGTATGCGAGATTCAGATATATTCAGATCATTCAGGTACTTTGGTTTGATGGGCGTCAGAATGATTCCGGGCAAGCGGTTGTGAGGCATGACTGGAACTTTCGCTTTGTTGGAACCTAGATTTGCGATTCCTCCCACCTCCTTGTATCGTGACATGTGAAGTAGCCCATAGTAGCCCTGAGCCCTACACACAAAAAACCCTTAAGCTTAAAGCTGGACTCTCATCAAGCCGTGCCTGCCTCGTGCAAGTGTGCGTGTCGAAACCATGAGCCCGAACACACCCTGCAATGCGGGCCTCGCCCTTGCTACGTAGAAGGGCAACAAACCCCAAACCCGAAACCCTGAGCCCTGAGGCCGGTAACTGCAATGTTAGAGTCTTCACGTTCAGGAAGGAGTCTTTCTCAGAAAAAGGGTTCATGGTAAAGTGAACCGGGTCTGCATAAAGGCAGCTCTTAGCTATGCGGGCTTCAAGCCCTAAACCCGGACCTTCGGTTCACATCCTAAACCCCAGCCGCTAACTCACGCACAACCGAAATCCTAAAGCCCACGAGCCCTATGCGACGTCAGGATCTGCCGGCGGGGGACTTTTCGGATTTGAGAAGGCCTTGTTTAAGTGCACAGCTGGACGAGACGGGGCAGCTGGTCTACCAGAACGCGAGGAATAAATTTGATTTGAAGCTAGGCCAGGAACCCAGCTTTGGTCATCTTCGTCGTGGAACCTGCAGCGTCGGAGCGACTCTTGTGCGACCTGACCTGACATCTCCTTCCATTACGGCTGAGGTCAATGGACAGACGATGCCAGTATGGCTTTGTGCCTGCCTCTCAGCACTGGCTCGAGATCCCCACCGGTGCCTGGCAAGTGCCTCCTGCTGTGGCATGCTGCTGGCATGCGGCATATCCAAACTCACAGTTCAAGGTCTCGCGGATTCCCTACTAGTGCGGGGGAGATACGATGGAGGCGATGTGCGAGTTAGATGGCACATGTGGTGGCTGGGGGGCCCGGCTGTCTTGAGTTGCTGAGTTGCTTGAGGGCTCGCATTCAAATCATGTGCCCTGCACTTAAGGTTTCACGGATATTGCAATGCCTTCCGCTACGATGCCGAACGCCGCAAGGGTCGTGGTTCAGTGGGGTTAGGTGGCAACGTCGCGAAATCGCTGCAGGAAATCGAGCGAACCTTGGCTGCCTTCAGATCTCAGCGCGTGCTGTCGACTTGCCAAGGTCTCGCGGTCTAAAGAATTGAGAATTGTGCCCGAGGCTCCGTGCAGATCGCTCAATCTTCCGGCCGATTGCAGAAGAATGCCAGTCATGCAAGCGTCGTGCCACCCATCTACCAGTCTTCCTCGAACGACTCCGGGAATGGCTGCTTGGCCTGTGCCAGAGCTTGTTCTCGCAGCTGCAGCTCTCCGGTGGTGGTTGGGTCCTATCCTAGAGCTTGTCTAACCATGGTAGTGATCCGGCGTGGTACAGCCGCTTTGGCTCTCCCGTCTCAGGGCGGTCTCCCTGGCAGCATGGGAAACAACTCAGCGAGAGTAGCAAGATATAGCCAGTAGATGGAGTCGGACATTCCAGACTGACAGGTAAACCAGGTAAACCTATGCTGCAGACGTCGTCCTTTTAGTTTTGTTTTGCGGCTGCCCTGCACGTGCACCGGAATTAACAAAGTAGCCAGCTTGATGAGCTCTGCGTCGAGTGCTTTCGCCGCCTTCTTGGAGCAGCAGCTGCGTGAGCTGCACCACCAGATCGTGGAGAAGCATGAGGATTCCATCGCTTCCGCCATTATTCTTCTTATGTTTGTTCTTAGGATGCTTAGGATTTGAAACTCTATCCAAATAAAAAGCAAGCATCGGAAGTATCGTTTGACAACTACTTTGCTGAGCAGATAAAGAAGCCTCGATGTTGCTGTTTTGAAAGGTGGAGCAGCCACGGTATGCATCAAACCAGGCAGTGCCCGGCTAGCAGAACTCTCCCCATCAATCGTCTCCTCTTCTTTTTATTATCTGTGCTCTGTCAAGTTCATCATCGATGGTATCTCGCTTGCGGCGATTACGTATATACGCCTAATGTACGCCGTCCTCTCGTTATGCCGTTTCTTAATCATCGGCAGGTGTCGATGTGCTCGACATATACCTTACTGTACTTCATTCTTCTGGAGGTGCCTTCGTCTGCTGGAGTGCTTTTGCCCGCGACGTCACGCCCTTCTGTTTCATTGTATGTTTCTTTGACTTCGCAGTCAAACATCCGTTCTATGCTCGAAGTGAAAGGAACACCTGACAAGCGTCCCTGTTCGGTTTTCTATTGACATCCCTTATATCGTCCCTAGCAAATTGCTTTAGTGTGCGTGCCCTGCACTGGTGAAAGCCCTCCAGATCTGAAACATCAGGGTCGTCGCTTTCATTCTGGTAGTTTGTTTATCTTTCGTTACACCGTCATGTGACCTTAGCAAAGTCATATGCAGCTCATTTCGCACCTCTTGTCCCTGTAAACACAGTGCTTGTGGCAAGCCACCGGTTCGATGTTGACATTCTTACAGCATGGTGAATGCAACGAAATTTGAATTGCTCTGGCCTGCTCCGCAGGGTACGTGTTCTTCTGATGCGTCTGCTGCTTCCGCTCTTGTTTCTGTTACCCATAAATTACAGGCACACATGTCATTGTTCCAGGCCCACAAATCTAAAGGCTGCCTTGCACGAATACAAAAGAAGCACCCGACACTTGAAACTCTGCTGGCAGGAGCTGGTGGCCGCAATTTTGGAGCCTTGACATGTGGAGTTCTCCCAAGGCAGTATAGCACCCTTCTACATAGGATCCTTGTATCCAGCCCTTGCGAGCTCGAGTGTGCTTTGGGGCCTGTTCAGAAGCAGACCGTGCCAAAGTCTTGCGTTGGGATAAAGATACGAACAGCCAACCTTGCCCATGCTTATGCACCTTACGTAGGCTCCAAGCCCACCAGAACGCATGCGTGCATGTGTGTGTGTGTGTGTGTGTGTCGATGCGTGCAAAACGGGCGAGACATGTGTATATCTATGTGTTTATACACACACAAGAACTCGGAAATAGATGCGCAAGCGAATATTCGGTAGATGAGGTTGCATATTTACATGTGCACATACTGACAGATATATATATATATATATATGAATATGAATATGAATATGAATATGAATATGAATATGAGTATGAGTATGAGTATGAGTATGAATATGAAGATGAAGCTGAAGCTGAAGCTGAAGATGAAGATGAATATGAATATGAATATGAATATATATATATATATATATATATATATATATATATAGCATATATATATATATATACATACATAGCATATATATACACATATGTTTATATTTTTTCTATATATACACGTGTATATATGAATATGCATCTCTCACTCTCACTCTCTCTCTCTCTCTCTCTCTCTCTCTCCATATATGTATGTACAAACGTAAATGACAGTTCTGCAGAGTATGATACATGCATATAAGTACCTACATACCTGCCTATGTACATATGTATGTACGTACAAACAGAAACACACAAACACACGCATAAATAAATAAATAAATATAAATATATATATATATATATATATATACACACCCATATGCGCTCCAGACTGTGTGGTGCTACATCGTTCTGTTTTTGTTCTAAATCCCATATATCTTATATGCCCATGTCTGCACTTCCAGCTCTGCAGTCCCTTGCTTCCGAGGAGGATGCGCCCCTGCGCTCCGGACTGCTTGGGAGGATGCAGGGCACGCCGACGCGAGTGGCTGGGCGAAGCTTGGGGGGTGCCAAGACATCACCCGGTGTGGACAGTGAGGCGCTGGATTTTCGTAAGCTAGATATTTGAACCCTAAACGCGCTCTCAGGGCTGGGCCCACCCTTAAGATTCCCAAAGCCCTTGGATCAGTCTTGATGTTTTGGCAGTGGTCCAGCCTCGCCGAAGGATTTGCGGGATTTGTTGGCCCGAGGCCCCAAAGCTTTAAAGCCCTCAGACCTCCCCCTCAAGCTTGCACCTTTGCAATCGACCGCTTGCCGAGGCAGACTCCAAGAAGAGCACCAAGCGTGCCGCTTGGCACTGCCTTTGAATTGAAAGCCAGATTCGGGGCAAAGTCTGAACTTGACGAAGATCCGTGCTTGGCCTTCTAGACAATTACAACGGCAAGCAGCTAGAGAGCGGCTTTGCAACAGGGAGCTTAGTCGGCTCTCAATTATACCATCTCAGGCAATTGGCGGCAGCTACTCCAATATTTGGTCTGCCGGCATCCCGGGCTCTGTGGACACAGAGGACGTAAGCAGCAACTTGGCGAATCTGCCCAGAAAGTGCGAATTGTGCACATAGATCCTTCAAGAAGGCAGTGCACCGTTTGGTAAGTGCAAGCTGTCCTAGAGTTCGTGGGGCTGGTGGTCGTGAGAACGGCTGGAGTTTCTCCTCCTGGTTATTGATGCCGTCCTGATGTTTCTTGCTGCCAACCATCCCACGAGGTTATTCCTCCGTCAGCGAAGTCTATGACATGAACTATCAGAGGCTTAAGGGCCTGGGTCGGGCCCTTCCTTCGTCGAAGTCCAGTCGCGCTGCTGCTGTTGAGGGCTACTCCGAAGTACTGTCGTGTAATGGCATCAGTTGCTATCGTCGTGGTGCTCTCGGAGTTTCTGGGATGTCAATGGGCAACCTGCAGACCAATTTCCATAAGCTGGCTTTGGGCAGGCAGTCATTGCTCAGTCTGCAACTCAGACAAGCGTTGGACACAGCGCCAAAACCACCCAGTGGGGAGAGTGCCACCTTGGGCATAATCAACATAAGCAGTGAGAAGCCACATGTTGCCATTCGGAGCCAGATATACGTCGCAATGACTTTGCCAGTACCCAGGCCGGACGTCGAACACAGAAATCCTCCAGCAGTTGCAGCAGCTGCACAGCTTGCAGATGACACGGGAGGTGGACCCTGCTTCTGAGCCACTTGCAATCAAAGAGGCTTGAACCCTCATTCATGCATGCCTTGATTTGCAGGCATCTTCCAACACGCTCGACCGGCCAGACGTTCAGGCCACCAGTAATTCCGCAAAGTGCTCGAAGTCTCCTTCAGCCATGAGGGTAGAGAAGGTTCCGGGGCATTTGACATCCTGGAGTCTCTGTTTCCGTGATTTTCTTTCTTCCGTTCTGCATAGGACTCCCTTGCCTTCTTTGCTGATTCTGACAGAGGCCTTGTCGGAATCGCACGAGATGGTTAGATATGGTTAGTAGCCGTCACCGGCACGACGAGGAGCAAGAGCAGGAGCAGGAGCAGTCGCAGTCGTAGTGGCAGTGGCTTTGGCAGGGGCAGGGGCAGCGGCAGCGCAGTCGCAGTCGCAGTAGCAGTAGCAGTAGTAACATCAGTAGTAGTAGTAGTAGTAGTAGTAGTAGTAGTAGTAGTAGTAGTAGTAGAAGTAGTAGTAGTAGTAGTAGTAGTAGTAGTAGTAGTAGTAGTAGTAGTAGTAGTAGTAGTAGTAGTAGTAGTAGTAGTAGTAGCTTAGTAGTAGTAGTAGTAGTAGTAGTAGTAGTAGTAGTAGTAGTAGTAGTAGTAGTAGTAGTAGTAGTAGTAGTAATAGTAGTAGTATGATGTAGCTGCGCGGCAGCAGCAACAGCAGCGGCGGTGGTCCCCAGCATTCCCCAGCGCCCATCCTTGGACACATAGTCCTCAAACTCTGATGTCAGCAGGTATTACCGGAGCCGCGGCCACTTCGAAGAATGTCAAGGCCATGCGGGTCTGGGCTTCTTCCTTGACTCGAATCCGGCCGGTAAGGAGCGTTGGCCACAGCTCCCAATCCAAGAGCCCCGTGCGACTTTGTTTCAGCTGGACGGGTGGCAAAAAGGCCTCAGCCCCGTCCGACAATCAACCCGGAGATGTTGCAGCCTTGAGACCTGAGACCCGGAGGTTGCGGTGCCGGCGAATGATACGGCACAGACCCCTATATCCCAGATACCCTCAAGCCACAACCGTCTGCAACGATCGTGAGGAAGGTCAGGACCATGCTCCATAGGTTCTGGATCGACCTGGAACTGAGCCGTAAGACAGATGTGTGTACAGTCGCTCCAAGCGTTCAGAAAGCATGTCGTCAGACAGGCGGACAGATGGACAGACCTTCATACATTTCTGCCTTCTACTTGAATAGAGAGGTTGGAGCTTCCTGAGTCGAAGAAGCTCTACCTCCATGCTTTCAACCACTTGCGTGTACAAGCTAGACGCACCTTCAGGAGGGCGCACGGCGGCAGCTTGAAGCTATCGCCTCGCACCGTCATGGGACATCAGGGCGAACAAGGCCACCTGGACAGAGAGACCGTAAAGTTTGGTAGCTTAGAGCCTGGGCATGCTGGGTAGAGGGACCACGAAAGTAACGAAGTCACTGCTGCCCGGCCTATTCCAGCCTGCCTCAGGCTCTGGAATCCTGGGCGACCTAGGGATCATTCCCAGGTTGGCCGGGAGAGTTTCACACCAGTGACTCCTCACATGAAACTCGGGTTGCTCGGTTTTGGGGTTCTGCATTTTTCTTCCGTCCTACCATTCAGCCGCTTTCTGACATCGCACATCAACTCATGTTGCCAAGCCAACCACCTCAAGAAGACTGAAGCTCTGACAGGAAGATGAATCACAAGCTGCAAGCAGCAGAACGGGTTTGTCGGAGACAGAGTCATGAAAGACAGAAGTATGCTATGGACGTAGAGGGTGAGACAAAGACAGAGAGAGCATACCTGTGTGTCTGCAGTTTCGTAACATGGGAGTTTGCTGCTAGTTGGAGCCGTGCCAATCCCCTGGAAGGTCCCGCCGGAAGTCGGACTTCGCTGCTGCTTGCCCGAACTGTCGCAGTCGGTCGCAACATAGTTGTGACGTGGGTTCAGATTCCAGATTTATTGCACCGTCCCATGCCATACTGCATCCTGACTTCATAGTGGGTTCCATCACAAATCGCTTTGTGGTTTGTTGAGGTTTTCATGCGACCTCGACTTCCCAGGTGCCTCATAGCGCGACAGTGAGCGGCGAGACGTCGGGACGAGCTCCGGACGCAGGGGGTCCTAGAGTTTGACGAAGCATCGCGGGTGACAGGTAATGTAGGGGTTGGAAAATGTGTGTAGTACTGCCTTAGAATGCTTTAAGAGCTAATTCCAGTCATTAGAGCCCCATGGATTGGTCACGACTCATTCGCGAAAGCCTGCTCTTTCGGAGCCTTTCATCAGATGGTCCATAGGCCAGCAGAGAAATGGGAGTTTCCGAAGATAGGGGACCCAAATATAGTAACCTAAATAGTAGGATCCTTATTATGAGGACCCCCAAGATAAGGTACCCCTAATTTTCGGAAACTCCCAAATCAGTTAATGGCTATGTGCGCAGCAGGAGGGCTGAAGTCGGAGGGGGGGTGGGCACTACATGTTCAGCCAGTCTTCCACTCCCCCCTGTCACCATCATCATCATCATAATCTGCATCGTAGGTTCTTCCTAGTCAGGTGGGAGGCGAACGAAAATCATCATCATTATCATCATTATTACCATAATCACCAGAACCACAAAACAAAAAGAGTTGCAGGGGCTCCGCACTGCAGGTGAGTGTGCCAGTCGTGCAGGGCTGGCTGCCACTTCCCTCCAAGACTGACACCTTCAAGGACGGACACTGGAATGAAGTCCCGAACTTGTTCATGAACTTCATGTCTTGTTGTCGGCTTTTGGTATCCACTGTGCTGCAGGACCACCACCTCGACCGCGTGTCCGAAAATTCTGTCTCTCGGATGTCCTCCGCCGTCAGTTCGCCGCGCAGATCTTCGAAGATCTTGCGAGCGGCTTCTTGCCTGAACTGGGCAGTCTTTTGCCATTTTCTGTTTGCAGATCTGCGAGAGACTACTCCCTCCCGGGCAGATCATTCAAATACTCAAACGCAGCAACCGCCCGAGGAAGTGGTGGGGCATGAGGACAAAGATGCTACAAAATCGGACGAAGACCAGGATGCCACAGCCATGACAGATGAAAAAGGGGCACGGCATGTTATCTTGGAAAGAGAGCTGTCGTTCAAAGGCAGGGTCCAATACAACAGTCACAACAGGGCTTAATTGTAGGGTTCAGGGGTGCGCCTTGAGGGCCAGAAGCCCTAAGCCCTCAGAGGATCTCAGAGGCGGCAGTCCGTGGCGAACTTGGAAGCCGGCAATGTGCGAGACGAGATGTTTAGCCCCTATAACTCTAAAGCTCTAAAGCCCACAACGAGGACGCCAGTTGCCAACTGCGTCTTGAAGTGCCAGATGCAAGGCAAAAGAGCGAAACTCTTCAGCCCTGAACTAGCCCCATACTTGTATAAACCTGAAAACCCCCAACTCTTGAACCCAAGACCTCAAAGACCCTAAACCCGGAAGCTTGGACGCGAGAGTCCACAGCTGGGACGCACTTTGTTGGAAGGAGGCTCCTCCGGAAGGGGGACGCGCCGGCACGAAGGAGGCTCCTCCTCCGGACCCTGAGGAGCTGGGGGCATGTTAGGGCATGTTGGGGCCTTTGTGGTTTGGGGTTTAGGGATTTAGGACTGTTGGGGTTTAGCAGTTTTTGGGGTTTGGGGTTTAGGGGAATCAATTGTGGAAGTCAGTGTTCAGGCGATTGCACAAGTCCTGACAGTCTCAGTCCTGTCGCGAACCAGGCTCCAACCGCTTTTGAAGCTTGCTTTTTAAGCTTCCCACCAGCCTGGAGCCGTCGTCCCTTGTTGGGTATGCGGTCGGAGGACCGGGAGGCTGTAGAGGGTCGCCGTCAGACAGTTTTGGGAGTTTCCGAAAATACTCCGAAAACAGGGGACCCTAATATAGTGCCTCTAAATAGTAGGATCCTTATTATAGGGATCTACTATAGTACCTCTAAATAGTAGGATCATTAGTATAGGGATCCCAGCAGGAGGCGCCGAGCCTCCCACAGCACGTGAGATTCCCCATCGGTCTCCGCGGACGCCGCAACTCAGATGCTGCCGCGCCTCGGCGGAGCCACAAAGGGTGCCATGCAATCGGCAGCTTCCAGGAAGGGCTGTGTTTGCAATGTAGGTCAAGGGATGAGCTGCGGCAGCTGTCCTTGTCGAGTTGTTGAATTCTGAGTTGCGAGAGCGTCGTCGCCTTGAGAGTCCGAGTTGCGAGAGTTCAAAACTTGGACCCATGCAAAACCTAAAACGACTCTTCGCGAGGATTCCGCATTTGTAAACCTCTAAGGATCCTTTACTAACACCGCCAAAGCCCGCAATGCCTGGACCCCTAAACCGTCTATATATAACCCCAAGCGCTAAACCGCCCAGCTGAAAAATGTCGCACCGCAGGGAACTCGTCCGAATCTAAAGAAACAACGACAACAACACCCTACCCAAACCGGCTTTCTTCGCCAGGGATCTGTGGCGTCCTTCTTCTCCACGCCTTTCTTCCGAGGGGACTCGCGGCAAAGCCTTGGCCTGGAGGGGCCGGGCTGCGAGCCCCTGACGGATGCTAGGCTCAGGGGTTCAGGGTTTAGGGTTATAGGCACAGGGTTATAGGGTTTAGGGAGGGGGAGGGCTATATATAGGGTTCAGGGTTTCATGTCGCATGTTTGCTTTTTCGGAGAGCTATTGTTTAAAAAGGTGGTTTCTTTTGGTTTAGGGCTTACAGGGGTTCCAGGTCCATTGTTGGGTGTAGTAGAGTGTTTTGCTGATTCTTTTGCGTAAGGCGTAAGGATTGACAGGGTTTCTAGGCCCCCCGCTAGTCACAGCCTATTGTCATTTTTGGCAATATTGTGTTGGCGAGGTTTTGAAGGTGTCAGAAGGTTGTCGAAGGGTGTAAGGTTTTATGGTTGGAGCCTCATGGCTAAAACCAAACAACTGTAACCGGGGTGCCATGCCTAATGTTATGGGGTACTGGCGAACCAAGGATGACTTTGACTACGAGTGACTCTGGCAAGACATGGGAGAGAGCGGGCGGGTTGCACATGCCTGTCACAAGAATCACACTTGCTATGAGTGTCGTATTTTATGCATTCTGCCACCCTGTTTGTTGATTTTTACTCTTATCACCCTTACAGTTTACTGTTTTTCTTCTTTCTCTGATCGTAATTATTTGGGTTCGTGTTACTGCTGTCAGTGTTATCATCACCATCAATTTTCCCATTAACTCATTAACGTTTTTGTCAACTCTACTATGGCCTCTGCTCGGCCCAGGTTCGAGCTTCTTTCATGCTGGAATCGAACTGCGAAGCACTCCGCCAAGGCGGGCTATGTGCCGTGTATGTCGAAGCCCACGGAAGTGAGCTGGGGTTTCAGGAAACAGGGTTGAATGCCTCAACGAAGTGGCGCTCTGGTCCTCACCTGCTAGCGCTGCGCCCTAATCACTTAGTCTCGACGGTTGGGGGTTTGGGCTATTTGCTGCTATGCTACCACTATGTTGCGCTATGACCATACTTTCTATGATATGACTCTCGTTATGGATCTGTGATCTCGATAAGTCTTTTGCAGTGTGGAGTTGCTCGCGTACGAGAAATCAGCCTGGACCGAACGCTCCCGGCACGGCCTTTTGCATTCTTGGTTTGGGGCAAAAACCTTGCGTTTTTGATTGGAGGTTTCCGGAAAGCCCTTGCAGGACGCGTGATAGGAACCCTTGTAGAACCTCTTTTCAGAAGCCCCTTAAGGTTTCGAAGGCAATGTACCTCGACGGGTCCGGGCGCACAATTTAGGGCAAATAGCTTGAAGGGTTAGGGGTCAGGCTTAGGCTTCTTGCCTTTCCTTCGGGTTGAAGGTGACGAAGTTCCACCGCCTGGTGACCAGATCTTCTTTGAGCAAGCATTTCAGTGACTTCCCCGAGGAGCTTCAAGATGGCCAGGCAGCTTTGGCTAATCAGCAGCCTGCGGAACTCTGTGCATTTTGTCATGGTTGCTTGGGCGATCCTACTCAGGCAATCTTTGTCATCAAGCCGTTCTCCGCCAAGAAGATCACCTGGGACTTGCTGATTTGTTGTATCGTGCTGCATGACGGCATCGTCCTGCCGCTGCAGCTGTTGGGCATCGAGGTTTCCACGCCGCCTGCCAGCAAATGCTTTTGCTCTACTTTGTAGAATCAGTTGATTTGGTGGACCAAAGCACGCGCAGTTGTGTCAAGCACGTCAAACCAAGTCTGCCATTGTATCAGGTCCGATATGCTGGCATGGCCACTCACACTGGCCTGGACTGTTGACCTGGTCGTGTCTAGCATCATCACCTTCGAGCGCATCCTGAGTGCACGGACATGGGCTGTGTGGCCTATACATTCTATATCACACAATATCAAATTTTTCATGTTCTGCACTACACATGACATACTGTATGCTTTGCATCACCCACTGTGTATCATCATAAATTACTTTTGAGTTGCACATTAACTGCGCTTTTGTGTTTTATGGATTTGTGTATCATTCATTTTGCAGATGGATTTCTATATGGGTTTTTCGTTTTCATACTGCACTGCCACATAGTATCGTTTTAGGTTTTAATATGAGCTACGCATGAATTTATGATGTGCTGTATAGTTCGAAGGATGTGATACGTAGTCTGTAGTACATATATATATATATACATACAAACATACATATAGTGCATAGAAGTTTGCAGTTTTTTTACCATTTGTTAGGTATTAAATGTAACATGTTAGATGTTTTAGAGGCAGTCATCGCTGGGTAATTTACATTTGGCATCATCTATCGTGATTATCTTGGTAGCTGTTATGTATCAGATGAACGATGTTCTGCACTCTATGTCTGGGTTGTACAGTCTAAGTTCCATATTGAGTACGGTGCTGCGCATACTGTAGAACAAATGCTACATGTTGTGTACAGCTTGGATATGAGGTATCATGCAGTAGCATGAAAAGTAGATATTCGGTATCATTCATTGTTTGAGAACATTATTTGTCGTGCTTCCTGATCTCTCCGAGCTTCCGAGGTAATGATGGCACTTGGGAGACACGAGTGCGGTATACCTTCCGGCGATACTTTGCAGGCAGTGACCTTAGCAGAAGCTTGCAGATCCATGTGCGAATGGGCGGGTTGCATACTGTGCGTATACTTTAGACCCCCAACACATAGAGCTCGCATTCAGGCTCCTTCTTACCTGACTTTGTGCTTGCAGCCTTGGCATGGGTGGAGCGCTTCACATTCTCGCAGAGACTTGGCTCTAGAATTCTTTGCCAACACCGCTTTTTTTCACCGGAGCTTTCTGACATGGCTTCGCCGCATTTTGGGCCCAGGAGCTTCAAGTTCCTGCGGATCTGCCGGCTCTTCCGGCTCTACCGCATCGAGGCCCCCAGAGCCGGTCTGAAGCTGCGACAGGACAGGCAGATCTCGATCGATGCCAGGCGATAATACAGCTGGTCTCTAATAACATCCGCGGGGAGCTCGGGTGTGGCATGAAGAGAGGGCAGCCTTAGCTTTGGCCGCCTCGTCCCCAAGGTTCCGAACGAGCCGTGCTGTGCATTGGCATTTCAGGCTGGAGGGGACTGCCGAGCAATGGATGAGGTTCGTCAGGTCGAGTCATGTCCAGTGGTGGGTCGGCACCTTAACTTCGATCGCTCAGAAGTGCACGCCTGTAACACTGCATGAACACTTCGCGAAGTTGCAATCTTGCCGACGTTCGTGTTCTCTTGATACCACTGCGCATCTAGGAGGGAGGACTGTGAACACATCTTCGGTCTTGGAAGCAGTACCGATGCCTCGCTCCAGACCTGCGCCTGAAGAACTCCTGGCTTACCGGCAGGGAAGATCATGTGGCTGGCCGTCTTCCTCCATTTCATTGCCTGCCTTTGGCTCAGCCTTGGGCGACAGGCGCCGCAGCTTGCGTGATTGCTGCTTGATGTGTGATTTTGGTTGGCCCCTGCTATAACCCACTGCTTGAAGTTCCAGTCAGAAGCAGCTGACAACCTTGCCCTCAAGAGAGAACTCCATCGCGCCGAGAAATCGTTGGCCCACTAGACGTGAGGGATGTGAGGAAGAGAGCAGCAGCAGCAGCAGCCTCTGCAACCGCTGCAATAAAGGGAGATGCGACAGCCGGTGAGACTGCGGGTGCGTCGTGAACGACTTGATGTTCTGTTTGATGTCCTCCCTGTCGTTTTTCAGGAGGGCGGCTGGGTCTCCTACCACAAGCCGGGCATCGCAGACATCCAGCAGCAGCGAGTCAGCAGGAGATATCCGATTCAAGACTCCTCGTGGAGTCGGGGAGTTTTGCGTGCCGGGGCTCCGGGGCGAGGTACAGCATTGCCTTCCACTGGACCCTGGCGCAGTTCCATGGATCCATGGAGCTTTATCCTGTCACGGTGGAGGCGGGACGCACAGATGCAGCACTGAAGCAGCACGCTTCGAGACATCCTTTCTACCATGACCTGGAAATGCTGGCAGAAGTGTGTTTGCAGGAGCGCATCTTTGCGTTCTGCTACCTGTTAATGGCCTACATTCTGGCCGTGGTGTTCATATCGAGCATGACATCAGCCATGACCAGGCCAGGCGAATTGCGTTTTTCACCAGCTTTGTCCAGCTCCAAGCATCGCATGTGCAAGCTGCACGCAGAAAGATGTCGCAGGTTGTATCTCATCACCGGGATACAGGCAGGACACCAGCGCGTGCTGAGGTGGTTTCTCATTGATGCCTGGCCTTGCAAAGGAAGGGCATCCTTTTTGCGATGTTCGCTGCATCCATGACTTCATGAGTAGCGAGTAGTTGGAGACGCCGTTCCCGAATGCAATGTGGGGAGTCTTCCAAGATCCGGACACAAAGCCTTTCCGAGTAGCAAAAGGGGATCTTGCGCGCCGTGTAAGGACAACGGAATCTCAAGGCAGCTGACGGCACGGATCCATTCGAACCTGAAGCACAGCTGCAGGTCTATCAGACTGGGAGGGGGTTTAGGTGAGGTCAAGCGCGGCATGTCCTGAACACCCGGCGAAAGAGACTTCTCGCAGCACTGTCTTCCAGAAATATCGGATTTCAAGACTTGCCTGGGAGCTGAGACCTGGACAGTTGTTTTCTGAATTGAAAGGGGTCTATAAGGGTTACTACAAGGCTTCAGAGCAATAATTGCAGCCGCTGTACCGACGTCCCACGCTGCACTAAGGAAAGCCTCCCTTACGGCACAGTCCCACGCCGTCCCCGAGACGGAGGCAGCAAGACTGGGGGCTATTCCGTGGGGGTTCAGAGTCTGCTACAATTTCACGGACAAGAATGATTCTTTGCTAGTTGTGAGATGCCCGGCTGCAGAAAACGGGCATGCTCACAGCTTCAAAGCTGTAAGGACTATAGAGGTATTCAAAGAATCCACTACTGGTCCCAGCCGGTCGGCTCTGATGGTCATGCGCAGGTGGAGTTCCTGCAGCTGGTGTCTGAGAACCTTCGGATGCTGGGTTGCCACGGGTTTGGGTTTTTGGGTTGAGGGGCTTGCGGTTCGCAATCTCCTTGCAGCTTTGTTGCCATGTTTGTGTTCACAAGTTCCCGGCTAGGCACAGCTTGGTGCGGCCCGAATGTTTTGAGGTAGACCCAGCAAGGCGATCATAAGCAATCCTTAATTATTTCAGGGTTTCGGACCTTTCTCTTCCGTAGCTCCCGCAAATCCCAAACTCCGGAATCCATAAACCACATGCTTCGCCTGGTAGGTTCGAGTGTGAGCCCCGAAGCCGCAACCCTAAAAGAGTCGAAGCCGAAAGTGTCCGAGTGTCAGCAAAGGATGGAGCTCCACTGCGAGATGTATGGGCCGGCGCTGCGACACCATCCGTTGCTTCGTCGGGGATGTGGGGCCCAAGAGGAAGGCGCCCTTTGAGAAGCTTTGCACACGAAACGTCCTGTAAAGGGTTTCAAGGAGGGCCCCTAAACCTTAAACCCTCGTCTCCTTGACTGGCTGTGTCCGGGTTGCGAGAGCGTAGATCCTAAGCCACGAGAGATCCGAGGTTGCTGGCGCCCATGACAGCGCAGATGGTGAAGCAGAACCTTGGCAGAGCATCGCCTCAGCGAAAGCTTACCAGAGCAGTTCCCTTTCTCCGGATAGAACATACAAATAGCAACGAGAAACATACCAATTCCCAAATTAGCAGCAGGAACAGACATCATAGCTTGAAGTAGCACCAATACTAATTGGGTGTTGCAAGGCCGGGGCCGAAAGGAGTCAGCTTCAGTCTGCAAGCTGTGCACTATTGCATCTGGGGTGGTGCTTCTGCCTTGGTTTAGGGTTTAGGTTGGTGCTTTCTGTTTGGGTTTCTTTCTGGCCAGTTGTGCCTCCGTGACTGGCAGCCGGCCGACAAGGAGGCGTTTCCGAATACCAAACTTTTGATGAGCTGCACACTTTGGGAGTCTAGACATGAACTGTTGACGACGAATGAAAGGCGTCTGTAGATCCAAGCAGACATGCGGTCGTAGGGTGATGGCTTTAATCAGTCATACAGGATGCCACCCCCTGAATTGTGCGTTTTATCGTTTCGTTTTTGCTCTCAGCCTTCCCACCGATTTTTCTGTGGCAGGGATGCATTGCAGCCTTCAGCACCCGAGGCTTTGCCACACAGCGATTTCTCTGGCTCTCGTCTCGCATGGCGACTTAGTTTTCATCCAAGGCGCGTGCATTCGGCTCAAGACTTTCAGCAGAAGGTGCCTAGAAGTCCCAGGCATGACGCAGACAGAGTGGATAGACCGCTCCACTCTTGCAGGGGTTCCTGTTAGATTTTTTGTTCAACTTCTCGGATGCAGGCGAAGTGCCGGTGGAACCACGGATGGTTTTCATCACAGATGGAGACCTCGTTTATTTCCGCAGCGGCAAGTTCGAGTCGATGTCTGTCCATCCTGGCGACCACGCCGCAGAACCGGAGCCTTGTCCAGCATAGCACCCCCGTTTTGTTGTCCGTTACATGACTCTAAGGCGATGTAGCAGGGCGTTTATGTCGTCACTGTCATCCTGGTAACAAATTGTGCATTGTTCTAGCCAAGGTCCTGTGGACAGATTGGCTCCATCACGGCACTCTACGGGTTGCATCTATGCGTGTGAGGCGCTTCAGGGTTCGCTGACCGGTTCCTGCTTCGGTCTGTCGACTCTGTTGGCCTACCACTGACACTTGCAGTCCGGAAGTTGAGGAGAGGGGTGCTAGTCTGCATCGTAGAGGCTCTTTGCCCGCACTTCGCACGCCGGTGTGCGCAGGCTCCTCCTCCTGAGTGCGAAGACCTTCCAAGAGTGTCTTGGCAAAACGAAGGCAGAAATCCAGCAGACGTGTCATGCATGGAACACACAGAAGTCAAACTAGGGTGACACCGTGTTACACCCGAGGCTGGCCCAGAAGAACGCCTGCCCGGAGATTGAAGCTTGTACGCAAGGTTTGAGTGCTCTCGCCTGGGGCCAAACTCTCAGCTGTCCTCATCCCTGGATAGGGCTTTTTAGGTCGGGCTGTTTGTTGTTCTTTGCTGAGTGGGCAGCTTTCGGCCATCTCTCCTAAACATGGGCTTTGCATTGCAAGGACCTGTTCGCCTACGCGGCTGAATTCGTGCGGCAGTTCAACGAGTTGGAGCCTGTGGACCGCCATGACTTGTGGAGGAACATCGATTTGACTGGCTTTGGGCTGTGAGGAGCCGCCCTTTTTTCAGACCTAAGGGCACATTGCAAGCTTTGCTGCAGATGGACGGGTGGAGCTAGGGGCTTTTGCTCCGGAAAGGATGACATGCGTGAACGTAGGGGGCCCTCATCCAGAGCAGAGGTGCATCTGCAGCCCATTGCAAACGGCTTTCCTGACAATCAGGACAGTCGGAATTTGAAGGGTCGTATGCACGAGTTCAGCTGCGGACGTGCTTGAACGGAGAGGTTAGGGATGGTTCGGATTCTGAGCAGACCTCTGAAGCACATCCGTCAGCAAACCTGCTGACTGAATGGTGGTCTGGTTCTTGTGGCTCTTGTGACCAGCAGACCTGGGTTCACGAATGGTGGTGTTGGGTTAGTCGAGCTGGGCGACTCTGACACCGGCAACTATACTTTTATGCAGTATTAGACTCGACTCCTGTTGGCATGAGGCCACCGTCGGACCACAGCCACACGCCGGGGTTCTCTGAAATGTCGTGCACGTCTCCATCTGCAATGCCGTTGTAGCCCTCGCAGATGTAGGTAAAGCATAGAGGCATAGAGTCATTGGTATAAACGATAAAAATAAGCATAAACAATCATAATCATAGTCATAATAATAGTAATAGTAGAACGCATCTGGCCTGATCCTGTGCACGGCACCCCGGGGCAAGGCGATTCTTTTCCAGCCAAGCCCTGAAGCCCTAGCATGATACCGCAACCGTTGCGGCGGCATGAGGTTTGGCACCCAAATTTGGTTCTGAACATATTGGGGAAAAGTACTTTTCCCCAATGTGTTTCATAAATTTGGTTATAGTGCATGAAGTCTCGGTCCTAGAGCATGAGGGCTCCACCGGAAGTGCTCTGGGTTGATGGTTGCAAAACGGACGGTTAGGTTCGTCTGGAACGCCTGCCACGCCGGCCTACACAGAGCATACCCACCGGTGCCGTCCACAAATACTCGTCAGAGCTGTGCAGCTACATTTTTGTCCATTGTACTGCGGAGATCTCGCAGTATCTGCGCAAGCTAGAGCTAACGTCCTCGATGAGGACATGCCCCGCGCTTTTCAAGCATTTTCCGATGCACCGCGTAGTCTCATCTCACAAAAGGCACCGTCTGACTGCATGTTCAACGTCATGGGGCCTAGGTCATAAACGGCACTGCAATATCCCTTTGTTTGCGATGCTACAACCTGGGCGGTGAGTCCGAAAGCGTGCTCTTGGTTGGTCATCCAGGTTCCATCATGCGGCTGGGCCCAGTGCCAGTGGCCTACCATCTGGTGCCGGCACAAGCTTTGGAGGCATCCGAGGATGGAGGAATTCAGCTTCCGAACTCGCATGGCATTTCATGGCACAGCTGCGAGGTGGCGGGGTGGCAGTCCTTGGCCACACATCCCGGAGCAGAGGCCGCCATGAACTGCTCTAGAGCTGTGATTAGCTGTGGAGGTAGGAGCGAAGTGACCGGCGGGATTCGGATTTCTTAACACGCTAAGCCGTACCTATCGCCCCAGAGACTTTGGATGCCAAAGGAAGAAGGGGGCGGGCCTCGGTCTCTGCGAAGGCGGCGCTGTGCTGCCGCTTCATCGCCTCCTTCTGCGTGGCTGCCATCGCTTCTCATAGGCCGCCCCGCGGGCGCACAGCGTTCCCCAACCCCCCGAAAAGCCTAAACCTCAACTCGAAACCTATCTTTAACGGACTCTACTGTAACTGCCCTGCTCGTAGCTCCCAAGATGAATGCCCGAATCACAGGGATGCGGCGAAAGCTTCTGACGCGGAGTTCCTTGGACCTGCAGATGTCCTGGAAACGGACACGTTTCACGTTGTTGTACGTCCTCAAAGATTGAAGCGTGGGGATTTCTGAGAGTCAACTTCTTGGATCTTCCTCGGCTCGTTCTGCGATAGGAAGATAAGACTTGCACGTCCACGGGTTCAATAGTTGCTTCCTACAAGAAAGGGGTAAAGACCCACTAGTTGAAGCCCGTGTCGCTTCAGGCTAACTGTGCTGGATCCCATTGGTGACACGCGAGCATTCCTGGATGCCTGTCTGCAACTGTGGATTGTAACGTCCCGTATCGGAGGGGGAGGGTGAGATGGTGGGACGGAGCCCTGGAGCTTTGCGTGGGATACCTGGTGAGCAGCTTTGGCAGCCTCAGGAGAACCACATCAACGCCTTTCTTCAGCAAAGCCCTGGCCCAAGCCGAGTTCGCCGGGAATTCTGAAGTCCAGTCAGAGCGACTCCTGTTTAGAATGCGTGCTTGCCGAGGCGACTCCATGGCTTTGCCGAAAAAGCTAGACCAGGACAGCTTGGGGGCGACTTGCGTCTTTGAGTCATTGTCATCTCCCATGGGGCAGTGCATGGCATTTGCTGCTACGGCTCGATGCGCTCAGCCCAAACCTGGAAACTCCTGGGACAACCTCCCAAACCACCCTGCTGCTATGTGGGTTCGGCCTAGAGCCAAGGGGGAGTTACCTGGGCTGAAGGCAAGGAAACGTTGAACAAACAGTGCTAAAGCCCAAAGCCGGACACCCGAACAACCCCGAACCTTTAAGAAGATCATTGTAGTACATGCCCGAAAGAAGTCAGCATGTTTTTCCCCCACGCCCTGACCCTAAACCCCAAACCTTGCAAGAAACCCCCAACTAGAAAAGCCCTAGTTACCCGCATATACACCCTATGAAATAAGGGGTAGGGTTTACACCTGAAGCCCCGCACCTTCACCCCCGAATACTTAGGGCCCTAGGGAGTCTATAAACCTTATAAGCCCTATAAGCCCTAATTATAAATTATACAGAATTATACACCCCATAAACCCTATAAGCCCTATAAACCCTGAGCCCTATAAACCCTGTAAACCCCATAAACCCCATAAGCCCTAATTATAAGCCCCATGAACCCTATAAACCCCATAAGCCCTATCATAAGCCCTATAAGCCCCATAAGCCCTACCATAAGCCCAGTAAACCCCGCAAACCTTTCAAGATCCCTCGTAGAGCTCGAGGACGGCTCCTGCGCCCGGCGGCTGCAGCAGCTGCTCATGAGCGAGGCGCCTTCCAGGACCGAGGCTTCCTCTTCTTGGGTTTAGGGGTTAGGGGTTTAGGGTTTAGGGGTTAGGGGTTTAGGGGTTAGGGGTTAGGGGTTTAGGGGTTAGGGGTTAGGGGTTTAGGGTTTAGGGGTTAGGGGTTTAGTGGTTTCGGGTTTAGGGAGCGGCTTTTGAGCAGGGCATGGGAGATCAGTCAGATCAGTCGTGAGAGCTGAACCTCCGTGTTAGTCCTGATGCAAAAAGGGTTTAGGGGTTCAGGGTTTAAGGGTTTAGGGAATAAGTGATTGCGGTCAAGTGTTCGTCCTGGCGGAGTCGCAGCAGGCCAGTTGCAAAAAGGGTTAGGGGTTGTAGACTGGCTAGACTTGAGTCCAGTGGCAAAAAGGGTTAGAGGTGTATATCAGGATAGCCATAAAGGCATTCCGAGTTGGGGGTGTTGTGGGGTTTTGGGGTTTAGGTGGCACACAATCCAAGCCCAGCTGAAAAGGGTGGTCTAGAGCTTTAAAGGCTATAAGGGCTATAGGGTTGGGCTTATTAGGGTGTTTAGGGTCCTGGGTTGACGGTTTAATCAAGCGGGATTTAGGTGTCCATGCGAGTTTAGGGTTGGGCTTTTTGGGGTCTGGGGGTTCATTCTCATCGCTTGTACCAGCGCATCACTCGGGCGACGCGTAGGGCGTAGGGGTAGAGTAGCATTGCATGGCTTCTGTGTCCCCAGGCCTGTGTTCTTTTTTGGGGCCCTCACGGCGAGAAACGACAGACGGCTGCATGCAGGAAAGAGGCACACTGGAATTGGAAAGTGGCCAAGCTGCCGATAGCTGATTCGATCGCTGCCAGACAAGGCATTGCCGGAGTGGATCTGCGGCTTGGACGACAGTCTGGTTTCGGAGTCTCGAAAACAAGATGTTCCTCAGATAGCCTTTCGATGTACCCCATACTCGTGCCCGAGTTGATTGCAGCTTCGTATGCATGCTGTTCGTCCGCCCAGGTACAATGGACATCCGACCATAGCTACGTATTTCGGTGCGTATTGCTCCTCGGCATACAGGGCTCATCCGGGAATGCAGCGGCTATGTTGTTTCAATTGTTGCAGCAACTTGCGTGGTTAGGTGTGGGACCAGTTGCAAGTGGCTTCAGATCGGGCTTAGCAACATTGACATGTTCTGCAACAGCAGAGGGGCACCGGTCGCTTTGCCCTCCCCGTTGGAACTCTGTGCCGGCGGGTTCGTCGAGCATGTGCAAACGTGTGCAAAGCTAGCGGCCTATATTCACGAGGCATGGATGGGCTGGCGATGGCTCTGTGGGCACTGTGGAGCTCCAACAGCTACTCCAGCGCAGTGCGGGCTGGTGTGAACTTGCTCGGCGACGCCGACACCGCCTCCTGGCAACCAAGTCTGGAACCGTGCGAGCTGAACCCTGCACTGAAGCCAGCCAGCGGCGGCATGCCGCTAGCCTCCAACAGAAGTTTTCGACCAACCTTCGCAGCACAAATAGGTCGGTGCCATCGTCGGGCAGATGGCTGGGTCCCTTTATGGCTGGAAGCAGATCAAGTCAGAGGCCTTCTCCGAGCGCTGTGCAGCCCGGCAGCTTTCAGTCTTGAACTCCCTAAAGTTGAGGGTTGAGGGCTCGGTTTGGAGATGTTTAGGGTTCAAGGGTTTAGGCTTGTTCGCTTGTTGTGCATCCAGGTCTAACTTCACAAGTCGAGAAGTGTAGCAAGCAAAAGGATTCAACTTGTTTCATCACCGTCAGCTCCCTGAACCCTTAGTGTCTGGAAGGGGTGAACATCCTGAACCGCAGGCGTATGGACAATTTCGAGCTTTCAGAAGAGGGGCTCGGGCTCGGGCCCCCTCTGGGCACCAAAGCCATGGGCCACAAGCCTCCACTACTTATCGCTGCCTGCTGCGGTGTGTGAAAAGGTCAGAAATTTGAAGTACTGGGACAAGTGCGCCGAGATTGGACTGCGAGCAGCCTCCCGGACTGGCACTGGGCGAGACTCCAAAGCTTGAGAGGGGAGTGCTCGTGCTGTTCAAACTGTTCACAGCGAGATTCCGGGTTTGCTTTTGCGAAGCCTAAACCCTCCATGTGCCTCGCCTTGATTGTCCGAGTGTGAGCGCCGAAACCCGAAACCCGAAAGCCCCGGTAACAGTGGCTCGCGTGAAGAAGGGTTCCGTAGGTACGCCGTGTGCAGACGCAAAGGAGCCCTCAAAAAGAAGCTCCGAGGCTTTGCTCTATCATCTTGGTCCTCGCCCTCGCGGCTCATTGAAGCCCGCGGAGGGCGAGTCGAAGGACGGGGAAAAGGGCAGGGTCGTAGCCGTGGCGAAACGTCCTAGCCACCGAGCCTTCAAGCCATTGAGCGGCTTCTTCTGTCATTCAGCTGCTTCTTCTTGCGAAGCATCGAGAATTCGACCTTTTGCGGGTGATGCTTTGACGGTAGCTCCAGGCGAAACTCTACCAGCGACCTAGCGGAGACGTACCGCTTGCCGGCGAACTTCCGGCTGGTGAGTGGGTGACCTGTTCCTTGGACCATTAAGCCATTTGGACGTTTCCCAAAATCAGGGGTACCGTATTTGGGAGTCGTTATAGTAAGCATCCCACCATTTAGGGTACTAGATCAGGGTCCCCTAGTTTCGAAAACTCCCATTTTGATGAGCCAGTTGGAGTTCACGGTTCACGCAGCTGAACCTTTTTTTTTTCTGATTGCTGCCGGCACCACCACACTGCTCTGTGAAACGCACCGACGTTGAAACGATTGGTTCGGGTTGATGGCCGACGTTACATGATGATTGAACCCGTCTGAGTGCATGAACACGTTGTCTTTGGAACCTGAGACGATGAACCCAACAAACGTTCATGTAGTTGCTGGCAGACAGCTTGGTGAAGTCAGATCCTCGGAAGAGCCCTGAATGTGACAACCGGGTGATGACACGAGGCGAAGGAGTCGGTACCAATTTTCCAGATGCTCAATCAATCCTAAACCCGAACTCCCCCTTGAACTCTCCACGTCTAGACTAGACCCCAACAGCCAAAGTCTGCGCAGTGCCCTTGAGAGCCCCGAGGCGTGGACGCGGCCAAAGACTTCTTCTGCGTCTCGCACGAGGGCAGCGGCCTACAGGGCTGGGTGCCGAAGAAGAGCATTGCTGTGACTCGGCAAGCGGGGATTGAGGCTTTCCCCTAGAAGTTCCATAGGGCTGGGAGCTTTCCGACTCGGTTCCGCTTTGAAGTCTGAGGCGGTCAGGGTCGAATGTATGGTGTGTATGTGTATATATATACACACATACATTTTCACATACATGTACTCGCACACATGCATACATAATTGTGCATGTTACATACAATTAGAGCGAGTATATGTATACATACATTTAAATAAGTAACTAGATACATATATATATATATACACACACACACACATATATATATTCATATATAGCACATACATATATTTATATATATATATATATACATACATACATACATACATACATATGTATATATACTTGTTTACAGAGCTTACACAGTCCGCGAGAGAGGGAGAGAGAGTACACACAGTATTTTGAACATTGAGGAAGTTTTCCTTATGAGTATCATAGTTCTGTTCAGGCGTCATTGTGGATGGAGTGACATCATCCGATTATGGGGCTCCAGGGTCTGACACTTCCTTCGTCTCAGCTTAGACTGCAGTTGGCAAAACAAGTTCTCTTGTTGTCTCCTCATCGCAATAGCGGCTACATCGTCATTGCCATCATCGTCGTTATCGGAGGACTGGGCTCCAGCTGCGGGCACAGAGGAGCTGTCCTTGTTCGTCGTCAGCGGCACAGAGGCCGTTGTCGGGCTGTTGCTTCGTTTGCAGCATTCTCCAGCAGTCTATGCCCTAAGCTATGTAAGCCCGTGGTCGCAAAATCCGAAACTCTGTAGTTCCCGCTGGCAGAAAGCGTTCTCGTACCTTTAGAGCAGTTCTCCTGATCCTAGACTTCTTTCGTATTTGGTGCGCCGGGCCTCCTGTCTTATTTACAGGGACAGTGGTTTGTTAACGCAGCAAAGCCCAGAAGCACGACGGAGAGGGAATTTCCGGACGTTTCGTGTCGAACTCCTGTGTGCATAGCGTGACAGTGTTGTGGTGTCTTTTGTAACATGGTGTGCCTTCTTGAAACTTTGTCCACTCCCGGGGTTTCGTGCCGTTTTGCAGCTTTCGTCGTGTCTTTGCATGTGGGGAAAATAGAAACCATCATCTACCTACCTCTGCCCATGACCTTCACTTGTATGTGCTCAGGTATGAAGTGTAATCGACTGTTACACACATACATACATACACATACATACATACATTTCTACATGAATACACACATACATATATACATATACACACTCGCACAGACATACAGACATACCGACACACAGTCGCACAGACAGACACACAAACACACAGACACACAGATATACTAACATACATGCATACATAGACATATACATACATGCGTGCATACATACATACATACATGCATACATACATGCATGCACATGCAGACAGCCAGGCACACACACACACACATACGGACAGATAGATGTACATAGGTACGGACATGCGTACGCCCATACAGGGATGTACACAGACATATGCACACACACACACACACAAGCACACATATTCTCGCGCGCTGGTGCACGCGGTGCTACACGCTCCCAAACTACTTGAGCGAATGCTAGAGACAGGCCCCGAAGTCGCCTGCGCTTCCCCGTCGTGACGCATCACCGACGCCCCTCATTCCAAAGGAGCTTGGGGATGATGAGGGCTTGCGGTTTTGGGGCTTGGGAGAAAAAGGGTCCTAAACGCGACTAACTGCATTACCTTTGCCAGACCCGACCCTTTCGCCCACATCAGCCAGGAGCCAACCCCGAGGCCTACTTTGCGCGATATCAAGCTGCCCTTCTTGGTATCCTCCCGTCGGCCGTGAGAACGAAGGTGTGTGTTGTTGACAGGTTGTGACGGTTGTGAGAATGAGATCAGCCATCCCAGGGTTAAAGCCTGGCGTACCTGGGCTCTAGGATGTTGATGTGGTGTTGAAGTCTACAAGGGAGGAGTTCAGGCATCAGTCTTCGAGCTTAGGGGTGACTTGCTCATGTTAATGGCAAGTGCTACGAACACGTGTCGCAACCTCTCTAGGAGCTTAGTGTCAGCAAGGGTTCGTGGACAGGGTTTGAGGTTTAGGCTTTGGCCGTGCCATGAGGATCTCCTGAAGGCTGCATGCAGACCTTGAAGGTCGCGCCAGGGCCAGTCGAGTAGAGATGTTTGGAGGCGCTGGCGATAGGAGCTTCTTGAAAGCTGCGAGGCCTCCTAAACCCACAGGAGTTTAAGTTTGAGACGCGGCTAGTGCACTCTAGGAATCTAAGCAGTACTTGTAGCTGCGCGAAAGCATTTGTTCCCCTCCGAACCCCGGATCTGGCAAACATTTTGTTCTGGCCAACCAAGTGTCAGATTTGTAGGTGCCACACCGAGCTGGGATGCAAAGCAGCCCTCGTCGGTTTGGAGCCCACTGTCCTTCCAGTAGGGGCAGGACAGACACCCGGTGCACAAAACCTTCAAAAAAATGGGAACAACAGCTTCACATACAGTACTCCGAAGCTACCGTTGCTGCTAGTGGTGAACCCCTCCCCCACCTGCTTGCTCTTGCAAAGCAACTGTTTTTTGTAGTTGCTGGGCCAAACCTTCCAGGCTTAAGGCCTGGAGAATATTCTTGCCGGAGTCCGTGTGAGACGGGCTCCTCTGTGCTTATATAGGGACCTGAAGAGTGTAGAGCCAGGTTCAATGCAAGTAGCGGTTGGGGTGGTGTATGATCCAAGCCATATAGGGACGATCGAGGCCTGAGGGAAGTGCTGTTCTGATCATTCAGGCCCCTCTGTTAATGGTCGAAGGCACGCCGTCCGCTTTCTGTTGAAGACAGCGTTCTGACCACAGCTTGTACAAGATTCGATCAGGCCGCCCGCGTAGATGCGTTTGGCACAGCCACGAACACGATGCCGTGCATTTCGTAAAGCCCATATAAGACCCTATAAAGGCTTGTAAAGCCCTGAAGCCAGGCTCCGAAATATAGTATAGTCACAATGTGGATGTGCTTCAAGGCCGTGCGAGCTTGATCCAGCATGTAGAACAACAACGCATGCGTCAAAATGCGATGTCGGCAGGATGTCATGAGCCAAGAGCCATGCTTCTTCGTACATCATGTCACTCGAACTCATCTCACATGTGGGTCAAGTTCTTGCAGTTTCGGTGCGTCTGTATTTGGAATGGCGATGGGTTCTCGGCTCACTTTGGCACCCAAGCACTTAGAGGAGATGTACTTCGATATGGCTGCTGAGTCCTCTCTGAAGCTGAACCCCGGAGCCTCCCACGCATCCTCACACTTTGAATTGTGGCCCTGTGTGGCTCATGGCGATCCCTGAGCCCTGCAAGCTGATGCATGGCTCATGACCGGCGCCGTGCGGGAGGCAGAGTGCAGATTACATCGCGAGAGTTGGAACGGTCGTGAGTACTGGTGCAGGCCGTCGGTTGAAATGCAGGGTGCGACTGGAGAGTATGCACGCTGCAAGTTCCCCGCAGCAAACCTGGGAGCCTGTGAGCCCGAAGCTGCAAGGGGGCGCTGAGCACCTGGTTCGAAGGCCTCGGATGGGGAAGGAAAGGGACTTCGGATTGAAGAGCTGAGCCTCTCCTCGGCGGAAAGCTTTGCCATTTCTCGCTTGCCTTGTTCTCCTGCGCGGTTTCCTCGTTGGTTGACGGAGGCCTGGCTGCCGAACCCGCTTTGGGGCAGCTGGAGCTGCGCGTCTGGGATGCCAAAACAGGGGCAGCAGTGACTAGGGTCATGGTCCGATTGGTGAAGCTTGCTCGGAGAAGGATTTGTTCTATTGCCGGTACTATGATTTCGCCGAGCCTTAACCATTGCTCAATAAGTAGGTACAGTGGCAGTTTCTCCAGAGCCAGCGTCATCAATGGCTGGGGCAGGGAATCCTGAGGCAAAGGGCCCATGATTGGGGTCGTTCCCTGGCGTTGAATGAAGGGCGGAGCCCCTTACCCCTCGACCCTTGTAAGGCCGATTGGTTCAAAGTTCCCTGAACTAGGGCCGCGGGCGGTTTCGCTCAAGGTTTCTTCGCCCCAACCCCTCTGCAGGAAGATCTTCTATCGAAGCCTTCCCGTGCTCCCCGTACCGGATTTTGAGACTTTTGACGTTAACAGTCTCATAGTAGCTTGGAAGATGGCTTTGAATAAAATGCTCCATGACTGTGTCTAATGTCACAATTTCAGGCATCTAAGCTGCTCTTCTTTCACTGTGCGGATACCCCCAGAGCTACGAACCCTCCCCTCGCAGATCTCTTTCAGAGCGCTCAGAGCGAGCGAAGCCAAAACCCCCTGCCGCTCCAGGCAAGCTTGGCCAAGATAGCCTCTCCTCCCTGGTTCTCGATGCGGAGTTTGGAACCAGTACCCCAAGGCGTCTCGGCTTGCTGAAGTGCGAGCGCCGCTGTGGTCCCAAAAGAATGCTCAGCCTCAGGACATTCTCAAGACTTCGCATGCTCAACACGACTTTCTCATATCGGGACAAATTCTGATGGAGCATCTTCCTTCCTTCAAGCTTTGCTGCTTGTTAAGCCGCTCCTGTAGATTTCCCGTCGTGCTTATCATGCGTTGCGGGCGTCGTGCCTGGGAGAGCGGCACCGGAGGCCGCAGAAAGACTTCTAATTCCTGCTTCGTGCCGTGAGAGTCGAGACCCTGAACGCTACTGCGTGCGTAGGCTAGAGCCACAACCCAAAGCAAAGCCTCACACCTCAAAACTCCAAAGCCACGACCAAAGAAGCCTGGGCTCACCCGAGGCTCGGACCCGCGTCGGAGCCCCGGTCGCTTAACTCGGCGGCAAGCATTCGCCGGCCAGATAGCCGGCTACCGTCGATACGGCGGGAGGGGAGGGCTGGTTGGGTGATGTCGCTTCTGGATCTTGAATCTTCTGGTTGGCTTTCAAGCAACTTGCGCAGGGGGACTTCGCCGATAGCATGTTTCTCTAACAGAGAAGATTGGCATAGCCGCTGACACGGACAAAACGAGAAGTGGACCAAGCGTCAACCCGAACGCCAGTACCACCCTTCCATGCGGGTTATGTCCTGGCGACGCGGGACAGAAGAAGCTCCAATCTTGGAGGCGGGCCTTTGGTCGGCGAACCCGGACGGCGCTGCTGGAATCCTGTCCGCCATGTACGCGTCCCTTGGTACCCAAGATGGGACCAAAAGCTGTGCTAAAGCAGCTAATAGGTTCCAGCAACAGGGCCCGGGGAATTTGCGTCAGCAAACATCTGCCCGCAGTCAGGCGACCTCTCCGACGTGTCAGTGGACAAGATCTCAGAGGAGAGTACTTCTGGAGATGGATTGCTCAAGGGTGCCGTTGGCAACATACTTGAGCGGTTGATCATGGAGAAGACTCTCCAAACTCTAGCCACTGCGTTACAAGCTGCAGCTTTTTTCATGCAGCAGCGGGAGACAAGATCCTAAGATACCGCTTCAAAGCAACAGTGGAATCACCCACATCCCGGATCGGCAGAACTGTCTGACTCCCTGCCTCCCTCCCTCCCTCCCTCCCTCCCTCCCTCGCTCGCTCGCTCGCTCGCTCTCTCTCTCTCTCTCTCTCTCTCTGTCTCTGCCCCGCTGTGCCCATGAATCCGCGAGGACCTGAAGCGCGTGAGCCTGGACCTCGCCGCAGTGAAAGCCGGGAAGCATCTGCAACGCCAGCAAGGCTGGGCGTATGGCCACAGGGGTTCAGGTTTCTCCGTGCTGGAACGGGCCTAAACCATGAATGGGCCGTGCACTCTCACTCGGAGGTCAAGGCCCGAAGCCCCAACATCCCCCACACCCCCTTTCACCCCCTTTATCGGAGATTGCTTAGCACCCTGAAACGAATGACGAAGCACCTCGTGCCTTGTGGTACGCCTTCCTGGAACGCTTCAAGGCCGCGTCAGCCCAGGCCGGAACCAATCGGCCGAGAAGCCGACGGGAAGGGCCCGGACGCTGCGGCCCAAGGACCCAGGCCTGCTGCGTACTGGGGCTTTTCAAGGGTGCTCGTGCCTACGGCATTGGGTGTATATTGGGGTCCCTAAGCTTTCTGAAGCTCTCACATTCAGCTCAGGAGCTTGGACCACTCCATTCACACAGAAGTCACGGCATACTGTGGCGTAGCATTCAATGTTAGGGCTCATGGGTTGAGGGTCTGGAGCAATTTCAGACGCTTCGCGTCGCCCGCCTCGGCCCGGCTGCACGCGTATGTCCCGAATTGGTTGGAGGTGTTTGTCTAAGGTAAGCATCCGGAGCCTGCAGTGTTAACCCGTGAAAAGTTGCCTTGCTGAAGAGAATTCTTGAGCCAAGATCTTTCAGGCGCCAACATTCAGTAGTCAGAGTGTTCTTTTCACGGGGGGAGCGGGGAGAGGGGAGGGTGCCCTACAGAAAGCCGGAGGCGAGAGTTCACTGCAGCAAACTCATGGGTTCACAGAGAGGAGGGGGGGGGCCGTCAGCGGGCCGTGGAGGTTCAGTGGGGAGGGGATTAAGAGGTGAGGAATAGAGGGAATCCGTATGGAACTTCTGACCGGCCGTGGCCGAGGCGAATTTTGCATTGATGTTGCGGCCAGCCTGCGATGCTTTGCATGCATGCATGCACACGTGCACACAGGTACACTTTCAGACATGCTGACAAGAACAAGAACTCATCTTTATCAATGTAGAACATGCTCGCCAATATGCGACATGTGGGCATGTAACGTGCTTTGCACGGGCTCGAAGTCAACATGTATATGCCAGCTTGCAGAGTCAAGTGTAAATGAACAATGTAAAGTATACCGGGAATGCGCAGCAAGATAGGGCCATGTGGGAATGCAACCAGCCCACTACTCCCACTACAAGACCATGAAGACCTCAGCACTTCTCCGCA